AGTCCAATTTAAGTCATTCCTAAATTTTCACCCTTTTATTACTAAGTTTCTTTTCATATAGTTTTTCTCATTTTGATAACCCATTTTCTTTAGTTGTGTCTAATGTGTAAAATTTATGAAATCTCAATTGTTTTTCCAGATAAAATTTCTACTTTGTCTTTTATCAATTATGCCATAGCTGTTCTTTGTTTGCTTTTCTTGTTGTGTACCATCAAATTGGATCCAACTGGCAGAGGAGATTGCCCCTCCTTCTCCAGCAGAGCATCTGGTGGATTTCAACAACATGCCTTTGTAATTGCAGCGCAATTACTTGCCACTAGACCACCAGAGCTCCTGCCATACCAGTACTTAGTTTCAGTTCTCTGCTGGAAGTTTCAAGCTTGGCTTGTATCTACATGGAACCAACCATGTAGAGTTGTTTTTGTTTCAGTTTCTTCATGATCCCAGTATAGAATTTTTGTAAGTCTGTTTATTGTCTATCAGTTGTTTCAATTCAATTACATTGCCTCATCTCTGGAGACTAAGGTGCGTCTGATACAGGCCATGGTCTTCGCAATCACTTCTTATGCATCAGAGAGTTGGACAATGACCAAGGAGGATAAAAGGAGAATTGATGCCTTTGAGCTGTGGTGCTGGAGAAGAGTATTGGGAATACCATGGACTGCTAGGAAAGCAAACAGATTCATCCGAGAGGGTTAAACCTCTCAAAATGCTTGATTAGTTTCTATTGTGATTGAGTGTTGTTGTTATGTGCCGTCGAGTTGTTTGCGACTCATAGCGACCCTATGTACAACAGCCCTAAAACCTGCTCTATCCTGTGCCAATCGCACTGCCTCTGACACACCTATCCCGATTACCCCAGTCACTGAATCAATCCACCTCATAGAGGGTCTTCCCCTCCTGCGCTGTCCCTCCACCCTCCCAAGCATGATGTCCCTCTCCAAGGACCTGTCTCTCCTTACAACCTGTCCAAAGTATGTCAGACGAAGCCCCAGAATCCTTACCTCCAGGGAGTAGCCTGTTTTAACCCTCTCTAGGATGAATCTGTCTGTTTTCTTGGCAGTCCATGGTACATTCAATACTCTTCTCCAGCACTACAGCTCAAAGGCATCAATTCTCCTTCTATCCTCCATAGTCATTGTCAAACTCTCTGATGCATAACAAGTGATTGCAAAAACCATGGCCTGTATCAGGCACACCTTAGTCTCCAGAGAGACACCGTTGCTCTTGAGTACTTTAGAGAGGTCCCTAACAGCAGACTTTCCCATCGCAATATGTTTTTTTTATTTCCTGGCTGCTGGTGCCAAGAGTGTTGACCGTGGAGCTGAGCAAACTGAAGCTGTGAACAATCTCAATCTCTTCACCATCCATCCTGATGCTACCGATTGGTCCAGTGGTGAGAATCTTTGTCTTCTTGACATTGAGCCTCAGTCCATACTGAAGGCTGCAGTCCTTGACCCTCTGCAGTAAGTGCATGAGGTCCTCCTCAATTTCAGTGAGCAGGGTTGTGTCATCTGCATAAAGCAGATTGTTGATAGATCTTCCACCAATCCTAATGCCACACTTCTCCTCATAGAGCCCAGCCTCTTGTTACATTTGAAAAACTATTGCAAAATATTAAAAGCTGAGGGAGCTCTAGTGGCCTAGTGGTAAGAAGCTGCACTGCAATTCTAGAGACATGAGGTTCAAATCCACCAGATACTCTGCTGGAGGGACAATCTCCTCCTGTACCAATCAGATCTGATTTGAAGGTACACACTCACACAAATTAAAAAAATAAAATAAAAAAATTTAAGGTCTAGGATGATGTTACTCTTCTCCAGAGGTTTTTTGCCTGTTCTTAATACCCGAGTTGTTTATAACCTTATCATCTTATTCCAAGACCAAGGTTTGACAATTTCTACATCACCCAGCTCATTTTTAGGAGTTCCACTCAAGATGCTGGGTTTTTCATTAACTTCCAATGCTACAAGACCCTCAGAACTACAGCTCCATCTCTTACCAAATTTCCCTTTGGGAAAAGCCTCTAATAGCCTGTGGTGGTTTCCTTCCTTTCTGGATTCTCCATCAACCAATCTTGCTAGCCCTTTGAAGCTTTTTAGGTATATAATATTCCACCTGTTTTTAGTTTTGAATAAGAGTGTTGGTCTGAAGCATGTAGTCTATTATGAGAAGTAGAACTTCCCATTCATGTTTTATTCATGTAATACAGGCCACTAATCTTCAACCTCAGTGTATAAAATATAAAAACCTCAGAGGTTTTGTCAGAGTGAAGATTTCTTTCGGTTCACACAATTAGTGATACAGTCAGGTATAAACTTGGGCAATACTTAAATTCCACATGCTTAAGATCTTGATGTAAAATGTCCTTTTTACCTGAGGTAGTGGTGGTTAAGTGCCGTTGAGTTGAATATGATTCATAGTGTCCCTATATTAGACCTGAAACCTACCCTATCCTGTGCCATGCTCATCATCTCTGACACACTTGAGCCATTGCTACAGTCACGTTGTCAATCTATCTCATTGAGGGTCTTCCTCTTTTGCTGACCTTCCACCTATCTAAATATGATGTCCCTATCCAAAGACATCATGCTTAGAAGGTGGACAGACAGCGCAGGAGAGGGAGACCCTGGATGAGATGGATTGATACAGTAACTGGAACAATGGGGGTTAGTGTGTTGGAATTAGTGAGACTGGCTCAGGACAGGAAAGGGTTCAGAGCTGCTGTACATAGGGTCGCTATACACTGCAAGAGACTCAATGGCACATAACAATAACATACTGACAGGTTTGGAAGCAGGAGTGGCATCCACTTCCTAAATAACATGCCTCTGGAAACATTATGAACTTTGATAAATGTTGATAGTAGGAGAGGGGCTTCAGGCCTTTTGTTCATAGGGTCACTAGGAGTCGTGCTCGACTTGAAGGCAAACATCATCATCCAAGGAATGGTGTCTCCTAACAACATTACCAAAGTATGTGAGTAAGATTTGTCATCGTCTTTCCCTCCAAGGAGGATTCTGGCTGCAGTTTCTCCAAGGCTTATCTGTTCTTTTGACAGCCCATGGGATGTCCAGGGTTCTTCTCCAACACTAGAGCTCAAAGGCATCAATTCTTCTGTCATCCTTATTCAGCGCAGTCTTGCTGAAAGGTCAGAGGATGGAAGTCATGACCTAGCTATCTTGATAGTGCTGGCTAATGGTGAAAACGCAAATATCTTAATCGTCTGGGAATGGAAGAATGGAATCCTTCTCCTCAAACCAGACTACTGAAACCCCCATGCTTAGTTATACTTTAACTTTCAATGTTTCTTAACATTTGGTGTTAAGTAAGCACAACTTCAGATTCTTCTACATCCCACTTCTAAAACCAGGCTGCCTTCAGTCAGCTTCCCCCCCCACCCCCCGAGAAAAAAAAAAACAGCAGGCAGCATCACAATGAAGACCACGCCATTTATTTACAAGGGCCAGTGTGGGAGCTGGGGGAGACAGGGAGGGAAAGCCAAACAGACCCCTTTCTCTTGACTGCTTGGGACTTTCTCCCACTTGGAGCTAAATTCTGTTCCTCTTGCCTCCATTTTTGCTGCCATAAATCCTCCAAGCAGCTGGGCCAAGTGCAGAGGGAGGCAGCAGTGTGAACCTACTCTGTCCCAGTGGAGCAACCATCCGATTTCAGATGAAAGGTACCACTGGTCTGGAGGAAACCCATGAAGAATTGAAAGAGCAGGGGCTAGGGAGCCAAAGACCATGGCCTCTGGGGGGGAAAGACCCCTCTCTGTTCCCTAAAGCATCACCAGAATGAATAGTAGTAAGAGTGCTGGTCACAGGCCAGACAGCTTCAAAGGGGGTACCCACACCACCTTCAGATCACAGCAGTAGCCTAGCTCTCCTGGCTATATCCATCCCTGGCCATTCTACTCACTCTCTAAGCAAGGAGCATGTAGAACCAGAAATCAGCAAAGAATCTACTTTCCACCTTAATTCTCATGCATTTTACACACACACACACACACACACACACACACACTCACTCTCTCTCTCTCTCACACACACATACACATAACTTCCCCACGGCTGAGATCTAAACTCCCTTCATGACTTTTGAGAGGGGCTCAAAACACTGGTACATAGGGTACACGGGCAGGACAGGCGGTCAGGGGTTGTGTGCGTGCGTGCGTGCCCCTTTCTTCACTGAAATTCCATCAGTACCTATCTCTTTGAGTCTTCCATAAACCTGGGCTTGGACCCTCCCACCTAAAAGAGCTACTAGGCTTCTACTCCTCATTAATTCTGATTTCTAAGAATTTACTCATTCTCCTTCATTCTTTTCCTCCAGAAAATCTCATCCTCTCCACTTCTACACTCATCTCCACTGGGCTGGTCCACAGGGCTATGAGTCCTTTCCTTTCCTCCTGCCTCTAGAGGATCCCACAAAGCCTATGAAAAAGTACTGGATCAAAACAAGGAGTGAGGAAGAAAGTCACAGATGGCCTGCTTTCTGCCCCTCCTTCAGAGTATGAAATTCTAGCATTACTCCTTTTCCTAGCAGAGGTGGGGCTATGGGTGGGGTGTAGAGTTAAGTGAGAGAAAGAAAGAGTTACCAAAAGTAAACATAAGATAGTAAGATAAGCAGAACACTAGTGGTACAGAGGGAAGATCCTGTTCCAGTAAACCAGATAGCTGATTGTTCCTTTGATTCTGCCGCCATGGAGAAGCTTTAGGGCTTGTAAGGGAAGAAGGTGGAGTTAATCAAACATAACTGAGAAGTGTTTCAATAGCTGTGCTCAAGGAGATCAGGAGAGATAATTCAGTAAAAGATGGAGAAGTAAAATAAAAATTCTTAGACAGATTTACAAGGTGGTGGTCCACGCCTCTGAAGTCACTCTGCTGTCCCAGGAGGACAAGGGAGAAAACAGAAGGAATGATGGGCTCCAGGGGTGGGGGCTATCAGAGGAACACTGGCACCAAGGGCAGGGAGAGGCAGGAGGCAGGGCTGAGGGATTAGGAGAGCTGGGAGCCCAGGAGTCTCTCAATAGCTGCGTTGATGTCCCCTCCTGTGGCAATCAAGGCCTGCAGGTTGGCCTCCCGATTGATGAAGCCCATGGAGTTGAGCTGCTCCAGTTGCTGCTGAAATCTCACTTCTGGCGTCTGTACCTGGAGGGGAAAGGCCTGGTGAATTGGGCTCCAACCTCAGAGGCCCAATGAATCAATCTAAGGGTTTACAGTAAAGGGAAGAGGCCCAGGTGGCCTTCTCCAATGTTCTTAGAGTCAACTAAGAGGGGAGAGAAGGAGAAGCTAAAAGTGGGGCAAGGGCCCGAATTTCCAGTCACAAAATAATAATTATGCAATAACAAAGGAGTATCTTCCTTAAAACTTTAATTGACAGGCCTACATCAGCCTATATTCCCAACTTCTTCCCATGGACACATAGAAGTTGCTAACTGGCACTCACTTCAAGAGCCAAACTGCTCTGGGGTCACATGAGATACACACTTGAGTAGCATGATGCACAGTATTAGTTGTACATGTAAAGAATACTGAAATGGGGAACGTTTTGTTACTTATGTATTTACAACAATAAAAAAAAAGCATGCTGAACATTAGCCCTAAATGCTGACAGTTATCACACACATAGCAATGTTAAAGGCCAAAGAAGGAACCCAGGAAAGAATCTACTTAATTTTAATTAACAAACACAGCTATTTACAAATTATAAGAGAAAGACTTTCAGTCTTGACAGGCCTCTAAATATCTCTTGGAAATGTTTTCCTAAGGGATGTTTGGGAATCACTAACCAAAAAACCAGAAGACCCTTATCTTTAGGCCGGCACAGCCTACCTGCCTGCTGATAAGGGAAAAGTGCCGTCCAGAGCAGGAAAGGACTTGGCTGGGATCAGAGAGCAGGCCTGCCACACATGCCCTGACCTGTCACATAAAAGTCCTGTGCTTCTCTTCTCAGCTCACAGAATCCGAGCTCAACTGCACCCTGGAGATCACCTGGCCCAGTCCTCTCTGTGCCAGGCACAGTCGAGCACACATTAGACATAGTTTTGCTGACATGCTTTTCTAAGATGAGTCATAAAGGTGACAAAAGGTTAAAAGGTTCACCCTGTCATTCCCACTGCTCCCCTGAAGTCCCTGGTTTTGACTGTGTCATCACCTCCCAGAATCCTTCTGAGTCTCAGAGATGTTGTTGCTGTTGTGTACCACTGAGTCAGAATCAAGCCACAGCTGACCCTCCAGTGAGTTTTCAGAGGCAGTTTAATTGCATGAGCATAGACTTCCCATCTTTTTTCCTGTGGAGCAGCTGGTGGATTTGAACTGCCTTTAAGATTGCAGCACAGCTCCTTACCACTAGGCCACTAGAGTCTCAGAGATAGGAGTCTTCAATTATCAAAAGAATCCTCTTAGTAAAAGTGATAAATAGAGTAGTTAAATGCTTGGGTTTGAACATTGACTATTACTAGTTATGTCACCCTGAACCAGAAAATTAACCTCTCTGGACCTTGCTCACTATATTCCCTCTGCAAAATAATGTAAGACTAGACTTCCTCACAGGGCTGTTAGGAGGAACAAGTGAGCACTTAAACTTAAAGCACTTTGAATAGAACCAGGTATCTTGTAACTGCTATCACTAGTCTCATCTCCATTTTATAGCTATGGATACTGAATTCAAGGCCAGTTATGTGCCAAGGCTAGTCAGCGGCAGGCCAGGCTCTACAGCTGGTGCGGCTGCCTCTGAAGCCTGCTCCACTGCCTCTGCCCTACTGCACTCTTGGTTCTACCCAGGACGGACATGGTAGCCTGGCACAGCCTCCATTGTACCTGTGAGTTTCCACTTCCGGCCAAAAGCTGAATCATCTGTTGCATGAGCTGCTGTTGGGCACTGGAAGCTGCTGTTGGAGAAGACGTGGCTGGTGAAGCGTTGGAAACCTCAGGGGCTGACCCAGTGTTACTGCCTGCTGAGGGCGCTGGGGTCCGGGGGATCCCAAAGGAGCCAAGGCTGCAAGTAGGAGACAAATGCATGAGAAACTGAGAGGTGGGAGGCAATGCTGGAGAAGGGACTGAAATGGGAGAAACAGTAGGAAAAGAATTTGGAGGCAGTGGCATAACTGAAGGAGGGGGGATGTCAACTGTCAAGAGCAGAGCCACAAATGACCTTAAGAGTCCACAGCAGGGTCAGGCAGGAGAGTTCTACAGGGGAAGGGAAGGGACTGCCAAGGCAGCGAGGTCACAAGGGTTGGTGTTGCCCAGTGTGGGGTAATTCATCACCACCTCACCTCTGGGCCGTCATGACCAGTCAGGCTGTAGGGGAGTGGCCTTTCCCCCTCCCCCAGGTCATCACTGGGCAGAGAGGAAGGTCTCTGCCTTGGCCAGTGGGAGAGGGATTAGCATGGAAGGGTGAGAAGGGTTGTGATTATCAACCACAGTGAGGTCACTGGTTGGAGGAAAGAGGATACAGACCCTCAGAGACATAAAAAGCTGCCATGGAGACAGCAGGGCTCAGAGAATGATAGAGAAAAAAGGCAAAGGGGCGGAGTGAGCAAACGCTAGCTGACCCTCAGGCCCCCTCCTCACCTGGGCACCAGCCCGGGGGCCTCGGTCTGCAAGGTCTGCAGTCCCTGCTGAATCTGTAGCAGTGCCTGCATGGCACGAGGATTGGTGAGGACAGAGAGCGACTCCGGATTCTGCATCTGGTGGTAAACCAGGTGATAAAATCAACAGGAGGAAGCAGGAAGGAGGCAGACAAACCCTAAACCTAGAGCCAGGCTCTGTCCCACTTACAGGACTTCAGAGCGCCCTCATCCTCCATCCTCCGTGGCCTCCTTACTCACCTGCTGCAGGAAGACTGGGAGCTGTAGGCGGAGCTGCTCCTGCAGCTGGGGGTTTCCCGCAAAGAGCGGCACATTCACCATCATCTGCCAAGGTGAAGGTAGTAGGGGGAGGCTGGGCCCCTCCATCTTAACTCCCTTGACTCCCTTGCCCCACCTCCGCCCATAGTAAATCTGGTCAGCTTTTCCAAAGATTTCAAAGTATCCTGAAGGCCTAAGTGAACAGAGAGGAAGTGGAACTATATTTTGGGCAATTGGAACTATATTTTGGGCAATAAAGAGTATTCAGTCAGCTGTTCAACCCGTTTTATACATATTGCTTCTAAGACTTCCCAGGGCACTGTACTCGCTATGTGCCACGACCTGTACTAATTAAAAATTTTACATATATTAATTCATTTAATCCTCACAGCTCTGCTGTGAGGTAAAAACTATTATTATTCTCTTACAGATAAAAAAACAAAGTGAAATAACAGGCTTAACTCACACAGCAGGAAGTAGTAGAGCTGTCTTTGGTCGTGACCACCACAAAATCTGCCCAGCCTGCCAAAGGAACCCGCTCTCCAGAGCAACTTCCCTGTGCCAGTGTCATACCTGAGCAGCAAAGTCGGGGTTCTGGGCAAGAGTCTGCATCATGCTGCGCATGTAGGGGGCGGAGATCACATTCTGCATTAGCTGAGGGTTCTCGGAGATCTGTTGCAGGAGGGCCTGCATTTCTGGGCTGTTGAACATCCCTAGGACCAGGGAGAGAAAGAGACAGGGTCCAGATGGAAAACAGATGCCTTCCTCGCTTCAATCTACCTTTTTCTAGACACACTGAGTGGTTTCACAACTCTGAAACAATCGTAAACTGGTCACCCACATGCTATGGCCTGGGCCCAAGTCTCTCTCAACTCCAAGGTCATCCTGCCCTGCTCCTGCATAACCCCTTTCCCCTCCCTTGCTAAGGGCAAGCCAGTTAGAAATGGGGTCTGACTCATACCCCTCTGGCCTGTTGCTGCCAACAGCTCAGATAATGCCAGAGTAGGAAAGGATTGACTAAAGACAACCTAGAACTTAGGTCTGCAGACCTTTTGCTCAGAGCAAATCTCTCTCAGAACCCAAGAATGTCAGTGTTCTGGTTGGAGCTGAGGCGAGAGGCCTGGGTCTCTCCTGTTTGCTCCTCACTCATTCTGGAGATGGTCCAGATCTCCCTGGACTAAGAAGCCCAACTGAAAAACCATGGATCAAGTTCAAGTCTCTTATTTTTACAAATAAGAAAAATGAAACACACAGGGACTTGTCCAATCAAAATGTCCCCCAGGGCAGCGAGAAATCAGGGCATCTACCAAAGATATCATCAGGGTGATGTGTACACCCACAGCGCAGAAAAATGGGGCCCTTAATGCAGTCCATAAGCTACTCTGGACATGGGAGCCCTGCACATCCCTCTCCCCTAGCTTCACAGCTGCCGGGCCCCAGGTCTGGCCTGATTCCTTTCCAATACTCACTCCTCAGTCTGACTCGTCTACATGGGACAGTGGTGGTAACACTCAGAGAACAGAGGAAGCAGGGCCTGCTTTACTCATGAGCCTCTACTTGGGTCACTCTCAGCTACATCAGGATGTGGTAAGAATTAGCCTTCACCCTCTGGGAGGTCTGGTCACTCCCCCAGGCTGCAGAGATCCCTCCGAAGCTTCAAGAGTCTCACCTGTCTTCAATATCCTGGAGCAGTGTAAACCCTATTCAGTTCTGGGCCTGCCCTGGTGACCCCACTAAGCTCCTTCCACCCTAGGACATACCTGACCCCAGGCTAGCCGCATTGATCCCAAAGGGGTTCGAGACTGTCGGGTGCACCTGGCTGGTCCCCGATCCTCCGGTGCCCTCCCCACCGGACCCGGGGGCCTGGGAGGTGGGGGGCGAGGGGCTCCAGGGATTAGGGAGGGGCTCTCGATTCTCAGTCCGCAGAGGCTGGGAGGACGAGCTGTCGGAGTTCCCGGTCAGGGAAGAGAAAGGATTGTTGCCAAACTGGGAGGAGGGAAAGGTTTCGGGTTAAGGACTGAAACAAATCAGGGACAAGGACTAGGCCCTTTCTCTCGTCTCACCTAGTAGCCTTCCCTTCCCCAGGAAAAGGAGAGAGATCTAAGATGGGGAGGTCCTCAGCTCAGCTCTTGGTGCCCACAATGGGCAAGATCCACCCTGGCCCTGCTAATGACTAGATAACCAAATCCCTCAGATAACTTTGTCTTCTCCCCTGGCGCTCCAAAGATTCAGTCTCTAGTCTCATCAATGTCCTCCTGTCACTTTATTCCCCTTTCCTATTGTGTCGGGAAGTGTTTGCTTTTCTGCACCTTTCCAGGAGCAGCTATCTGGGATTCATTCACCTTTGCACTCCTAGAGCCTGGCAGGACACTAATAGTAGGTGCTCAATAAGTATTGCTGGCCTGACAGGAGTCGGCTCTCAGACCTTACTCTCCTTCAACTCAGATTTGCCTCCAGCTCCTTTTTATCAGCAACACTAATCTAATCCCAATTCCCCAAGGCAGTTCTCCCTCATTTCCCAGGCTGTAAGTGCCACTGTCTGAGGATACACTTCCTAGGTGATGTTCTTCTGGTTTTCTCCATCTCAGCCTAGCTCCCTACACTGGCCACTTGAGTTGATTAAACAGGCCTTAGCACCAGGTTCCTGTAACACCCAGGATGGTCTCTGGCTCTGTCCCTTGGTGGATGCTGCCTGATCTCTTCTCTTTGGACCCTCTAGTACACAGGAAAGAGCTAGGGAGTTCAAGGGACTTGCTGTGAGACTCGCAGACCCTGTCTCCTTAGCTTAACCTTCTCAGGCCCCTAGAGCTTGACAGCTCCCTCCCCCGTGCTCTCTGTGCAAGAAATAGCTGAGAAGCCTAAGCCCCTTCCCATAAGGGATTTCAGACCAGTCATTTTTCCTGTTTATTCAACGTGCTCTTGGGGTGCAGGGATGATCAAGGAACTCTCCTGCCCTAAGTCTGGTTCCTTCTCCTCACCAGATGCCTGTTCAGATAACAAGGCTCTCAGGCCAGGGTTCACACGTTGCGGTTTCAGTCTTTGTCCCTGTTTCAGATTTCCTGTTCTGGTAATCTGCCTGGACCTACCTAGTTCTGGGTCTTGTTTTGTTCTTTGCAGCACACCCTAAAGACTGAATCTCTTTCCTTCGCAATGACAGCCACCCACAGTAATAACAGCCACCACTTACTGAGCACCTACTATGTGCCTGGCACATGAATGAATACTAATGTTTACAATACCTCTCTAATACACCAGTTCTCAAAGTGTGGTCAAAGAATCCCCATGAGGTTCAAAACCATTTTTCACTCTCATTTTCTCATGAGGGTTCAGGAGAATTTTCCAAAGACTGTATAACATATTACATTGCAACAGACCAAAGGCAGAAGCAGATCTAAGAATCCACCTGTCTCATCACAAATCATTATGGAGATCTGCAAAAATGTAAACATGAAGGCCACATTCTCCTCTAAAATCTTGCTTGTTTTAGGAAATAGTTATTTATACAACCCACAAAAAAAAAAAGTTTTTTGGGGATGAGTTGGAAAGGGCCTCAGTTTTTAAAGGGTCCTGAGACCAGAAAAGGATGAAAATCTCTGATAAACTTATAAAGTTTAGCAAATCACTTAAAATCACACTAGAAAAAATGGTGGCACTGGATTTGAACGAAGGTTTGTTGATGCCAAATGCTATGTTATTACAGCTAAACCAGCAGTTCTCGCATCAGAATTAACTGGAGTGCTTGTTTTAAGCTTTTATCAATTATGTGATTGTGTCATAAAGTGCATACCCTTGATAAAAAAGGATTTAATGAGAGACTTTAAATAAACATAAGTGCATGAATTATTGAACGGAAACCAATTTGATCTGGAAACTTTCACTCAAATAAGACATTTTAAAAATAAAACTAGAAAAAGTAATTTTTTCTTTACAAATCCTTAGTTGATGCCTAGAAATAATTTTTTTTAATTTGAGAGAGCAATGCCAAGAATAAGCAGGATGATATTGAAGAACAAGATGAAAACTCAGTCTATACCAAGATTTATTAAGGACAATGTGGTAGGGGGGAGTGGAGAGCATAATGCTAAGTGAACTAACTCAGTCTTATAAAGATAAATATTGTATAAAACCATTATTATAGAGCATGTACAAGGATCCAAGGGGGGGGGTCTTAAACATAAGAGTTCCACAATTTGATGGATGCAGGGAGGAATTGGTAAAGGAAAGGGGAACGGTCCAGTGTGAAAAACAATGTATATGAACTTTATGAACTCTGTATGTAAACTAGTATTTAAAAAAAAAAAAAGACTATGTAGTATTGGTGTGCTGACAGGCAAGCTGACCACTGGAACAGAACAGAGTCAGCAAGAGACACACTCAGCTATGGAAATCTGATGTAGGGCAGAGAGCCCGAAACAAAGGGCTGGGAAAGCATGGTCCACTTTTATGGGACTGGCAAACTGGTTAGCTACAGGAAAAAGGAATGTGAGATTCCAATCTCACACTCAGACACTGGTTACAGAGCCACACGTGTGAAAATTCATCAAGCTGTGCACTTAGAATAGGTGCACTTTATGTGTTTACCCTTCACTAAAAAAGTTTTTAACTCTTGTGAAACATTCTCACTTAAATGTTCTAAGGCAAGTTCAAAATTAGATAAACAACAGGATACCTCTTTCATGAGGTTTAAAACATGCAAAACAGTACTGCTGGCTGTTTTTAGATATACCCAACGGTAATAAAAACATAAAGAAATGAACTAAAATGATAAACACCAACTCTGGGGCAATAATTACTTCTGGAGAGGGAAAGGTGCATGGAGACAACAATTCAATCTGTTAGGTCTTATTTATCAATGTAAACTATGTGCAGGAAAATACACAAAACACTAACAACAGTAGTTACCTCTGGGGTAGAAAAGAGATTGCTGAGAGATGGAAATAGAAGGATCCTCTCTGTGTACTTTTGTCTAGGCTGTAAACCTTTTCATACTTTTTGAATATCTCTTCATTACTTTTTGCCACTTCTGAATTTTGAAACAAACAAATGTATAATACATTTATATATCAATTAATTTTTAAGAACACAGAAATAAGCATTAAAATGATATATGACATACCATGTTAAGTTTAGACAGAGCTGAATACTAGTTAGAAGATAATTATATTTTTTGTCTATAGGTTTTAGGTACTCGAAAATCATTCACATTTCTGAAAGTGCATATTCCTGGGACCCAATTCCAGAGATGGCGTCAATAAGAAGCTTAAGAGTGGTGACCAGGAATCTCATTAACAAGCTCCCCGGGTGATTCTGATGCAGGTGATCTGTGACATGCTTGAGACACACTATGCTAAGGAACAGCTGTCTGCCTGGAGGCCTGTCCCACAACCTTTGAGCCACTGGTGTAAGAAGTTTGTCAAAACAAAGTCAAATCCTTTGAACACTATGTCCTACCCACTTCTCTGGAGAACTCAGCTTTCTTCCAATCTAATGCCATGTTGAGTTGGGCCATCCCTGACTATACACTGTGAGGGTCAGCCTTCAAGTGTAGGCTCACCTATCAAGGGACTGAGGGAAGAAAGAGGTACCCTTAGCCTTGCCTGAGTCTAAGGGCACGGGATCCTGAACCCAGACAGCCCCTCCCACTGCCCTGGCCCCCACCTGCTCTCGGGCAGCACTGAACATAGGCTCCTGGATGTCCGTGTACATACGGCGGAGAGCATTATACCCTCCAGGGATGCTCTCAAGATTGCTCAGGGCCCGGTCCTGGTTCCGCATCATTTCTTGCATCATGGCTGGATTCCGAGCAAGCTCCATGGTCTGGTAGAGGGGAAGAGAGACAGGATGAGCCCTGGAACCAGGTGAATATCAAGCTAGAGAAGAAGGTAGGGCCTGAGGAGGGGTCTGCATCAGGACCAAAAGCCAGGACACAGGAACTGCCTTACAGGGCAGAAAGAAGGGTAAACAGGTAAACTCTACTGCATGCTTGGCTCCAATCCTGCCACCTCATGGGTATTTGGTTAGCTTTTTCAAGTGGAGGACTCTGATGAGCCCTGATAAGGAAGGTCAGTAGCTTCCCTCGTTCAGGATCAGAGAGTTCACACACATGTCACAGAAGTGTCAGGAAGCACAGAGAAAACAGAAGGGACTGTAGAGAGGGTGCAGAAGAGAACATTATCTACTGAGCTGAACACAAGCACTGGGCTAACTACAGAATTTAAGTCATTTAAACCTTCAAAATAAACATGTCAGGTAGACCCTCTTTTACAGATATGATGCTAACTGACTTGCTGTCTGGGGACACACATCCATTCAGTCAATGGTACAGCCAGGTTTCACAGGCAGGTCAAACAACATGACCAATGCTATTCTGTAATTCCTGAAAAATAATCAGAGACAGAGGAGGGGAAGGCTTCACACTGAGAAAATTCTACCAACACCGTCTAACCCCTCTCCTTCAGGTCAGATCTCTGACCTGACTGCACCTTGAGAAACGTCAGGGTGGAGGTAATGTTTCAGTCTCAATTAAGGGGTGATCTCTGAAAACCACAGGGGAAAGGAGTGCATGACGGGACACACACACACACACACACACACACACACAACTGCATCTTGTTTCCATCCAGCCTGAAATATCTTCCCTCACCAGGCTCTCTCCCATCCATTCGCTCTATTCTGTACTTGCCTATTCTAAACTGCCTTTTGGAGAATCAGCCTAAAGGAGCTCTGATCATGCAGTAAATATTGAGTGCCTGCTATATACCAAAGGAGCTCTTGATGGCACAACAGTTAAGCACATGGTTGTGAATTAAAAAGTTGACAGGTTGAACCCACTCAGAGGCTCTGTGGGAGAAAACCACTGCTTCCACAAACATTACAGCTTAGAAAACCCTGCCACATGGGGTCATTGTGGATGTTAGACTAGATGGCATCTAACAATAACACAGCCCCTGTACTGTTTCAGGCAATAAACAAAAAGCACTCAAAAATCCCTGCACACCAGGGGACATGAAAAGACACTTCATTAAAAAAGACATTCAAATGCTCAACAATCACATAAAGAAATGCTCAAGATCATCAGCTACTAGAGAAATATACACCAAGCTAACAACAAGATTTCATCTCATACTAGCAACAATAATGGAGTTCAGAAGAATAGTAAACGATAAACACTGACCAGGGTGTGGAGACTGGAACTTTCATATACCAATGATGGGAATGTAAAATGGTGAAACCATGATGAGAAGCAGTTTGGCTCTTCCTTAGAAAGTTGGGAACAGATAGGCCACATGATCCAACAATCTCACTTTATCCCAAAGAAATAAAGAGTTACCACACAAGAAACACATGCCTATCATGTTCACTGCAGTGTTTTTACAAAAGGGCAAAAATTACAGATTAAGAGCTGAGCACAATTACAAAAGCTAAGGAAAGGTTTATACACCAATTCATTCTTATATGGTTACCAGGGGTGAAAGGGAAACGGATAAAAATTAATAAATAGGTAAGTTGGGTGACGGGAAAAGCAATATAAGGAATTGATTAGACATTGTAATTAATTAGTTATGTTACCTAATTCCTTGCCCTCTTAGAACTTATTTTCTAATAAGTGGCACTGGTGTCCACAGCTCTGCTGAACAGGTCATCTGCTCTTCCCTCCTAACAGAGCGAGTGGGCCAAGAGGAGCTCCCAAAGAGCAATGCCAACACTGCCTTCCGTGGGTCTCCTTCCCCGCTGGCCTTGCCCAGCACATCACTCCTCAAACATCTCACTCTTATTTCCAAGCCTTTACACTTACATTTCCTCTTCTTTAAACACTTTTCTTTCTCATTGCCCCCGCCCCCACCTCTGCTTCACTGTCCTCCTCCTTTGGGTTTCAGCTAGGATAACACTTCTTCCAAGAAGCCTCCTGCCCTTTGTTGGGCTCCTAGGAGGCTTCTCCGATCATGATAGCACTGATCACACTGGATTATAATTGCCTATTAACCTGTCCTATTTCCCATTGAGAAAGCTAGGCCTGTCTTTTTCATCACTGAACCCCTAGTATTTAAACATTGCTGTTGAATGAATAAACAAATCAATGTAGGACAAGGCAGGAAACGGCTGGGCCCCAGGTGTTCCTCACCCACTTGCTCTCTTAACACCTACCTGCCTCATGAGCTCAGGGTTGTTGAGCATATGGCTGATCTCAGGGTTTCGCTCCATCAGCTGCTGCATCTGGGGGTTAGCCATGATCATGTGGCGCATCAGGTCAGGATTAGACATCATGTCCTGGACCAGAGGGTTCTCCATGATCTGTGACAGCATCTCAGGGTTGGACATCAGCTGCCTCTGCATCTGCTGCTGCAGCTCCATGAAATTGGCGGAGCCCAAGCCCAGGCTACCCAGACCCAGGATGCCCCCAAATCCAGCTGTGGAGAGGAAGCAGGGACATTTTGAACCAGCAGCCTTTCCCCTACCAGGCCAGTCACTGAATTCGTATGTCCAGGATGGACCCTATTTGTTCTTTGCTTCTCACCATTCCTTAACCCTATCCAGAGCAGAGATGTCAGCCCATTAGACTGAGACCTTTTGACCACTGAGGTTTTGTTTACCCTGGAGCTAAACACAGTACTCAGCACAGAGTGGTCAATCAACAGTGGCCTGAGTAAATAAACATGCCATGTCCAACCTTCTGCTAGGCCTATCTTTTCTTCAAATTCACACGTTCTTCCAATAACCTCATCCAGGATACCCATGTCACTAGCCATAATGCTCCCCTCACTTAGCCATGCTCCTCTCCTCCAGGAAGTCACCACATGTTTGCTCCTTCTCTGGCTTGCCTAACTAATATTTAGGACTCTATGTCTAAGGGTGCCCTGCCTTGATCAAACCAAAGTCAGGGGCCATGTTTATGTCTTCTCTTGGCTCTCCCCAGTTCCCCAAACCAAAACAGGACTGTGTCCTCCTCTCTAGGAGCTTACAGAGTATGGATGTGGTGGCATTGGGAGGTCCCTCTCCAGCCCCAGGGGAGGGACCACCCCCACTGCTCCTCCTGCTTCCACTGCCAGCATCTGAAGTGGCACTGCCAGAGGTAGAGGGTTGGGCAGGAGTCGCAGGTGACGCAGGCATGGTGGAGGGTGCAGAGGCAGGGTCTGGAGTGGAAGGGGAAGAAGTAGCCGCAGCAGACGTATCTTGAGCCCTAAGGAAAGAGAAAGAAGAACCCTAACTGGAGTGCATGCCTCAAGAACAAGGAAGGCACACCAAGATCAGATTGCTCTTTCCTGGCTAGTCAGCTTGTACCTTAACTATGACCCTGGAGGCAAACAGGGGGAGGTGAAGGGGAGGTCAGAAACTTGAGTGAAGGGAGGAGCTAGTATTATCGGTCTTTGGACATTCTGAGAGCTGTAAACCTGGCTCCTTTGAACCCACTAGTCATTCCAAGAAAGAATGATAGAGCCATCTGCTCCAGTAAAGATTTATAGCCTCAGAAGCAGTACAAGGCGGTTCTACTCTGTCCTGTAGGGGTTGCTATGAGCTGGAAGTGACTCAATAGCAGTAAATTTGGTTTTCCTGAAAATTCACCCAGGCCCCACCTTCCCCTGGCCCAGGACTTTCTAAGTCTGATGAACTTGTTACCCCACTGTAACAAGGTGATGGGTGAGAAAGCCACAGGTGGGGAAGTGAGCACACAATAGGCTTAAGCAGAAGCTGGGCCTGATCATTTCCTGGACTTACTTCTGTGGAGTCTTAATGACCAGGTGGACAGTGAGGCCATCCTTGATTCCATGCTGGTTCAGTGTGTCCCCATCTTTGAGGATCTTGCCAGCAAAGATCAAAACGAGCTGATCCTGCTGGGCCTTAAACCTTCTGGAGATTTCCTCTTTGAACTGGGATAGAGAGAAAGACTTGCCAGTAAGGGCTCCCTGGGCCTCCTCTTCAACAGCTTTTGCATTCATTTGCTCCCATCCCTAACCCTAGGAAGTTTTTCCTTCAGGCTCACTGAATATTTACTACAACAAGCAGCTCCTTATTTAATCAAGGAAATGAACCTCTGAACAGCACCACTATATTTCACTCCAGGGTCTTTCACCCTAGAAAGCCCTTGGAGCCCTCCCTACCTTCAGTCGCTCCACCCAGACTGTGAGGCACTACTACCTGGGCAACCCTCTTGATTCCAATTCCTTAAGCAGCCTTGAGCCCAGACCCTGTTACCCTTCAGCCTTCTTCTTCTCAAACCCAAGTTTCTTTTCTTTCCTTACTGCCAGTTCCTGCTATAGGGTTCTCTGAACTACAGTAACTGTTAACAGTTAACAAACCAAGAAAAAAAATCGAGGATTAAAGAAGTTAAGCAATTTCTCTTGGGCAGAACAAGACTCAGGCCTTGACCAGTCTCAATTAGTGCTAATTCTACATTCAGCTGTGCAGGGAAAAGGATTTACACTTTGGAATGGAGACATTTTATAAGCTTGGGAGGCAGTGCTGACAACAAAAGTTGCCTTAGGGAGGGCGAGAATCCCTAAACTCTAATCAATCCCTCCCTCTTTTTTTTTTTTTTTTAAAAAAAAGCATTCTTAAGTAAAAAACTGCACATGGTAAGCAAACAGTTTAGAATCCCTCTCTTCCAACCAGAGGGTCTATCTTAAGCCCCGCCTATGTGAAATTTTGGAGCAGCCACTGGTGGTGAAGAACACGGGGCAATATTCTATCATTCAACAAATTTTTATTGAGCACCTACTGCACATTGCGTAAATCCCGGAGGAGCCGAGACCAAAAAAGAATCACTTCGATTTGTAAGAGTAGAAAGAATCTGGTCAAAGGAAAACCGTGTCCTCTCTGCTGCAGGTTTCCACACGACACTGGGCGTCCAGCGAGACAGCGCTCTCCGCCTGCGCCCCCTGGCCCCGCTCTCCTCCTTCAACACCAAGCCCCCTACTCGGCTTTGGCGCCTAGAAACGCGAATCGTCACCGGAGCGCACACTCGCCTCAAACCCAGGGTCTTTCCCTTTGCCGGCGCAAGGTGCCCCCTTCTCCACTCTCTACCACGCCCCCAGCCCTGACCACCCGGTAAACCTCACCACCCCCCACCCGTACACCGGACACGTTCCCGCGGTGCAGGGTGTTCCTACCCACCTCTGCTTCCCCTCTGCTCTTCGGGGTCCCTGCAGGACCCCCACCCTTCTCTCCAGGGCCCTCTCTCGGATGCCCTCTCGTCTCTCGCAGCCCCCCTACACCCCCATCTCCTCACAGACCCCCTCCTCTGCGTTCGGTCCCCGCCACCCATACTACCTCCTTGACCGAGGCTCGATCGCAGATCACAATTTCCTCCTTGTCCTTTGGGGTCTTGACGGTGACCCGAATAGGGGGCCTCGTCTCGGCCCCGCTCGGCTCCGCCATGCCTCCGCCGCCACCACCCGGCCGCCCGCCAGCCCGCCCCGGCTCCTCCTCCTCCTCCACTTCCCCGCCCGCCCGCTCGGCCCGACTCCGGAGCCACCAACACTCCCCTCTCCTCTCACCTCCCCTCACTTTCCCTCCCCTCCCCAAGGCTTCACCGCCCCCTCCGGACCCGCTGCAGCCACAGCGCCCCGGGCGGACTGGGGGGGCACTGCAGCGGCGTCCGGCCAGGCCTCGGTTCGAGTGCCTGGGCCCGGCCTTGCGCTGTCAGCGGGAGCCGGGTTTGTCTTTAAGTAGGAGGGAAGTGGGGCAGAGACCACTGGTCAAGGCAGGAGACCACCGCCCACATAAGCCGGGACAGCCCCTCCGGGATCCAGTCTGGCCCCGGGCTGCCCCCGCCCTCTTCGCGGCGGGTAACTCCCGCTCTGGGACAAAGGACTTTCTGTGTCGCTGCTTTATCACCGTTCCCTATGATAATTTAGTCCTTCCTGTGAGGCCCAGATCCGTTTCAGCCTTCTCTTTTTAGATTTAGAGGTTGAAATGTTTCCATCTCTGGACATCCACTTAGGTAGGGTCTCATCTCTAGGAGTCACTCTATTCCTCCGGGAGTCGTGGTCTGAATGAAAGACGATTAAATATGGTTGCAAAATGTGGTTTTGCCTGAGTGGCCATTACAGAGCCTCTTGTTTATCAACATAATGCTGCCTTTAGCCGCATCTCACAGAATTGTGCATAGCACAGAAAACTGCTCTGGAAAGTAAACAAAAATTGTGCTTGACAAAAAAAAAAAAGTATTTCACCATTATTATTATTGAATCGTGGATTACCAGGCAGACACGATGCCTTCTCCCTCGAAGGGGTTAAATATGTCCTAGCACTTCACCGGCCTTTTACTCCCGCTCTTTTCCCCCTTAACCGCGTGGTCGAATTGGAAAAGCAAACTACAGTTCCCAGGATGCTTCGCGAGAATACAAAGAACTACAATTCCCAGAGCTCTCTGCGGCGGGGCCGAGTTAAGGCAAATCCACACTAATCAGGAAGGAAACTACAACTCCCAAGGCGTTGCTGGGCAAGGCAGCTGGTCTACGGGAAGCGGCAGGTTGAAGCCAGCTGGAGGCATCGTTGGGTATCCCAAGTGCAAAAGCCTGAGTTTAGGAGCTGCTGGTATGCTGCGCCCTAAGGCTTTGACCCAAGTGCTAAGCCAGGCCAACACTGGAGGCGTCCAGAGCACCCTGTGAGTGCGGTAGGACGACCTGAGGGGAGAGGGGAACCCACCGCTTTCAGAAGGTTTGAGGAGGGATCGCTGAAAAGAAAATAGGCAGTGACTGGGAAAACCAACAGAGAGGCGCTTTTTCCCCGCAGTAGGGCAACTGGCATACTGGGCACTTTCTGGGACTTACTCAACTCGAACCTCTTGCTTCCTAGAGGCGCCAGTTGCGGGAGTTGGGATGGGAACCCAGGCGTTTTCTTTCTTTCCTGCTCTGAGAAATTGATAACCCTCCCGACCCTCGCTAGGTTGCTGAATAACGAGGGATCACTGCTGGCCTATTCGGGTTACGGAGACACTGACGCCAGGGTCACCGCAGCCATCGCCAGTAACATCTGGGCCGCCTACGACAGGAACGGGAATCAAGCATTCAACGAAGATAATCTCAAATTCATCCTCATGGATTGTATGGTATGGAAAGGGGAACCTAACTTCCTCTGCTCCCGAAGGGGATCCCCAGGGAACTACCCGACTCCCATTTTAGACAGTTGGAGGTGTAATAGCAAGATCTCCAAAAGAATTTTAGGAGTTAATCTGCAGCAGCACTTATAATAAGCAACACCAAGTGTAATAAGCATCACGTGGCAGTAAGGAAGGCAATCTCTCCGGGGTTCTGGTCATTAAGCCACTTAACTAAGTTTGTAGGACCTTAGATAAATCTCTTACGCTCTCCAAAGTGGAAACAATAAGACACATGTACCTTCCCTAACGCTCCAGTGGGTTTTCAGAAGCAGAAACCCCCTGTGGAGCCGATGGTGGATTCAAACCATGTGCTTTTGGGTTGGCAGTACAGTTCCTTACCAGTAGGCCACCACAGCGCCATAAATTATATAGTGAAATGCAAACACAAAGTGCTTCCACCCTCAATTTACTAATTCACAAAACTCGAAAATTGTCACAGCCTCCAGGCCCTGGTTCATCTATCATTTACAGAGAAAGGAAATGAAGTCCAGAAAGGGGAAGTAGCCATTAGATTATTAACTCCTTGGTATCAAGAATTGTCTCACTCATCTCTTTATGTTCTTGAGACTAGGGTGTTGGAAGTGAATAGCACAGACAAAAAGCCCAGCTTTGAGAAAACCAGTAAATAAAGTATGTTAGGTTGTGAAAATGCTTTGGAGTAAAATAAACAGAGAAGGGAGATAGGATGAGGAACATGTACCAGAGACAGTCTCACTGAAAAGGTAATATTTGATTGAAAATCTGAAGGAAGTTGGGATGCAAGGCATATGGTTATCTGGGGAAAAAAGACATTTCTGACAGAATACCAAGTGCAAAGGCTCTATGGCAGGATGATATTTGGTCAAGGAACAGCAAGCCCAGTGGAACCAAAGTGGAAAGAACATGAGTGAGTAGTAGGATATGAGGCCAAAGAGGGACTTGACTTCCATCTCAGAGTATCTACTGAAGGTTCTGAACCAAATTAAAAAAAAAAGTGTCATCATCTAATAAATCCACTCACTGAAAAGTTTTCTAAAGTGGTACTTCTTTACTACATGCAGTGTTCTTCTCTCACTCTTTTCCCCTCCAGTGCTAATTGATTAACTTTTTAATTGATAGCCTGACCCTGAAGTGAAATAAATAGCTTGCAAAGTGAACTTGCTCACCATTTCTTATGCTAAAAGAATTGAACAAATTCACACCTCAAGTTGCAATACTTAAGGATGCTTTGGGCAGAATATGAAATGATCCAGAAAGCACTAAAAGAAGATGGAAGGAGTATATAGAGTCTTTACCAAAAAAAGAATTGGCTGACACAGAAGAATTTCATCAGTGTATGACCAAGAGCCTGTGATAATGAAGAAGTTCAAGCTACTCTAAAAGAATAGGCAAAAAAATAAGGTCCCAGGAATTGATGGTATATCAATTGACATATTTCAACAGACGCTGCCCTGGATGCACTCACCAAGTTGTGCCAAGAAATCTGGAAGACAGCCACCTGGCCAACTGACTAGAAGAGATCTATTTGCCATTTCAAAGAAAGGTGACCTAGCAGAGTGTGGAAATTATCGAACAGTATCATTAATATCACATGGAAGAAAGATTCTGCTGAAAATTGTCCAAGAACAAATGCAGCAGCACATCAACAGAACTGCCAGATATGCAGGCTGGGTTTAGAAGAGGCCATGGTACTAGGGATATTATAGCTAATGTTAGATGGATCTTGGCTGAAAGCAGGGAGTACCAGAGGAATGTCTATCTGTGTTTCGTTGACTAGGCAAAGCCATTTGACTCTATGAATCACAGAAAAGAATGAGAACTCCAGAACACTTGGTTGTGCTTATGAGAAACCTAAACTTGGACCAGGAGGCAGTTGTCAGAACAGAGAAAGGAAACATTGCTTGCTTCAAAATCAGGAAGGGTATATGCCAGGGATGTGTACTATCTCCATACCTTTTAAATCTGTATGCAGAACAGATCATTTGGGAGGCTGGTCTCTGTAATGCTGGAATGCAGCATCAGGATTGGAAGAAGATTCATCAACCAACCTGTGTTATGCAGATGACACAACCCTGCTTGCTGAAACTGAGGAGGATCTGAAGCACTTGCTGCAGAAGGTCAAGGACAAGAAAACAAAGATTTTTCAACACTTGGCTGATTGACAGCATTATGATAGATGGTAAAAGGGGCTGAGATTGCTAACAGCTTTAGTTTGCTTGGCTCCACAATCAACGGTCTTGGTACTAACATCCAGGAAATCAAAAGATGAATTGCATAGGGAAAGCTGCAGTCAGGGACCTCTCCAGAGTACTGAAGAGCAACGCCATCAGCCTGAAGGCTAAGGTCTGCCTAATCCAGGCCATAGTCTTTGCCATTACTTGCTATGTGTCAGGATATGAAAAGGGATGATAGAAAGAAAACTGATGTCTTTGAGCTGTGGTACTAGAGAAAAGTATTGAATATACCTTGGACTGCCAGAAGAACAAACAGATCCATCCTGAAGAGGGTGAAACAAGGCTGCTCATTGGAGACAAGAACTCTGAAGCTTCATCTGACATACTTTGGGCATGTTGCAAGGAGGGACTAGTCCTTGGAGAGGGACATCATGCTTGGCAAGAGAGTAAGACCCTCAGTGAGATGGATTGATTCAGTGACTGGGGTAATGAGGGCAGTTGTGTCAGAAACAATAAGGTTGGCACAAGATAGAACAGATTTCAGCGCTGTTGTACAAAGGGTCACTATGAGTTACAAGAGACTCGATGGCACATAACAAAGTATTGCTAAGAGAAGGAGAAAAAATATGAATTGGATTCTTTCTCCCAAGTCCCTCATAGTGTCTTTGGATTGAGTCTGTAGTAATAGCATCTCCCATTTGGAAAGCCCTTTGCAAATGCAAACACCCTTCTGTGCATTGATACTCCCACCAACTGGAATGCCTTAGGAATTACAGGAAGGGAAAGCAAGTTTCTGGATGATTAAATGAGTTTACTAGAGCAGTTTGGTTAAAAAATAGCTGTATTGAGGCTAGAACCGAGGCTCAGGACCCCATGTCCAGGGCTAGAGCCAAATCCCCTCAACTGAACCTCCTTCTGTACCCAGAACATGGAAGAAAGATACAGTGCCTCTGGGGCTAATGGAGCTCTTGGGGAAGGAGGCGACTGTGGTTGCCAAGCTCGAATGTCACATCCCTTCATATTCCTTCTCCTACTAGGAGGGCCGAGTGGCCATCACCCGAGTGGCCAATCTTCTGCTTTGTATGTATGCCAAGGAGACTGTGGGCTTCGGAATGCTCAAGGCCAAGGTGTGTATGGGCCCATCTCCACAACCATGGTCCGCCTTCATGCTTCATTACCACCACCTTTCCACCCCTTCTACTTTTCCGGTGCTTTTCTCATGTCACCACAGGCCATGACTGATGTAGTCTAACTCCTGGGAGCAGACTGAGGCCGCGGCTGGGTGTTCAGATCATTTGGGGTGGGGATGGGGGATAGGGGTGGGGTTGTAAAGCTCCTGCATCTCAGATACCTCTGGCAGAAGGTTGGAGACTGATCCCTGCTCACTCTTTTGCAGGCCCAGGCCTTGGTGCAATACCTGGAGGAGCCCCTCACCCAAGTCGCAGCATCATAATGTGTATAGAGGGGATCGGAGAATATAGATGACCATTTGGAGGGGCAGGCCCCTTGGGAAAGCCTTCCTGGGCTGTGGTGGGAGGATTAGCTTTTGTTTTTTTCAAGAATAAACTGAAATTCTTGTCTTGTGTCTTGGCTACTTTCTTGGGCTGGAGGAATCGCTTATGGGATTCCTCATGTTCTTCAGGGATTTATTTGTATCCCCTCCTTCACCCTGATCTCCCCACACCAACTGCTTTTTGGCAGTGATGCCTCTGTTTCCTTTTCTTCAGTGGTGTGACCTCAGCACATGACACTCAAAGCAGGCCTGGTTGGAAACCTGCCTGGTTGGAAAAATCTTGGGAGGGGCCTGGTGAAAGGTCCTGTTGGACAGAGAATTTGAAACCCTGGCAGTTCAACGCCCTTTATTTTAGGCTAAAGGTAGCAATGAGGTCCTGCCTTTTCAGGTTGGGGACATAACCCAGAGCTTGTATAAGGGGGCAATACACCCTTCCTTTGCTACCACATAGTGAGGATGGTACAAGATAGGGCAAGGTTCAGAGCCATTGTTCATAGGGTCACTATGAGTCATAGCCAGCTTGACAGCACATAACAAAAACATCTTGAGAACATTTTTCTAAAAAGAAAAATTGACAATAAGAATTAATATAATGAAGAAAAAAAAGATAGGCTTAATGTTCTACATTCAAGTTTGGTGAGTAACGTGAGAAGTCTTAGAAAGCATGCAAGCTGTCATCTAAGATTTAACTGTTGGTCTTTACTTGTATGGAGGAAAAGAGATTGGTGGAAATCAAAAGATCACTCAATTCACAAGACTAATAACCCAGACAAACTACAACCTCTTCAAACCTGAGACAGAGCTAAATGACACCTAACTACTAACATCATCAACCATTTTGGCTAGTAACATATAGAAGATCTTGGCTAGAACAGCAGAAGAATGTAAAACAAAACTCGAGTTCCTTAAAAGATAAGACCTGTCTAAACTTTCATTAAAATTAATAACTTTTTTAAAAGTAAAAGATGAAATTTTAAAAAAAAAGATCTACTGGATCAGAAAAGTCTAGAGGGATTCCTAAGATAACCTTTGAACTTAGAACTGAAGTTTTTTCTATGGTTTACCCTTTAGTCAAATCATAAATTGTCTTAACTAAAGAGTATCACTTGTGAGCAATGTGTGCTCCTTCAGGCAAGGAACTATATGAGGTCAAATTGTCAACATTTACCCCAAAAGCAAAGATGAGAAGGCAAGAAACAGTAAAAACTAGCACAATGTAAACCAAACAGAAGTAGGGAGAATGCAGAGACATCCTAAAAATTTTAGCCAATGGCATACAAATTGTTAAATAGGAACAGAGTTTCGTGCATAAAAGTTTCACTTAATATTTTTTGGTTTTGAAAAAAAATTTATTAATTTCAATGAAAATTTACAGAGACTTTGGATTTTCATGCATTCATTGTTGCACTTTTCTCCCCTTCCAACCCTCCCCCAATACACTACCCTCTTGGAACAGTAAAAGAAAAATTATTTCATTGTTTTACAATCCCTCCCCCCTGGTCCACTCCATTATGCAGCCTTCACTCCGGACTCCTGTTATGACAAAAATACCTAATCACATATCCCTTTTAAACAGTTTTCTCCCTCATCTGTTTCAATGCAGTATACATTATTGAACCCATCTTTCTCGGTCTGCCCCCCCACCCCGACCCCGATGTCAGTCCTGTTTTACAACAGTGGCACCATGCAGTATCTGTCCTTTTGTGACTGAGATACTTCACTCAGCATAATGTGCAAGGTCACCCATTTTGAATAATATTGCATGAGTTCCTTGTTTTTCAGTGCAGCATAGTATTCCATTGTGTGAATATACCACAGCTTCTCTATCCATTCATTTGTTGATGGACACTTAGGTTGTTTCCAACTCTTTGATATTGTGAACAAAGCCGCAATAAACATAGGTGTGCATATATCTGCTTGGATGTCAGTTATGGTCTCTTTGAGGTATATTCCCAGTAGTGAAATTCAATGGGTCAAATGGTATCTCTACTTGCAACTTTTTGAGAAAGCCCCATACTGCCTTCCACAGTGGTTGCACCATTTTACACTTCCACCAACAGTGAATAAGGGTTTCAGTTTCTCCACAACCTCACCAGTATTTGTTGCTTGCTGTTTTGACTTTCACTTAATTTTTTTTTTTTTTATTTCAAATGAGTTGGTTTAATTCCAGGTGGTACAGAATTCTGGGCATAATGAAGAATGAAGATTCTGACAGGATTCTGGATTCCATTTACTTTGCACAGACAGCTAAGATTGAAATGGCTGAATGAGAACTGGAGATGGACCACCATAAGGTTTCTTCTTCACTGTTTCACAAAGTTTCCTCTTAAATGTACAACAGGCTCCAAGACAACACTTCATTTTAACTACAGGTGGTAAAAGATGTTACAGCAGAGAATCCAGATGTTTTAAAAAAGAACGGAAGTAAGGTTCATCATTGCCTCAGTCTTATTTTTTGCCAGATTTCTTAATTCCACCCGTGGCCAGGGGACCTTTGCCCTCGACCTTCGCTTTTAGCTCCTTGAGTTTCTTCTGTTCTTTTTGTTTCTGCTTGAAAGCCTTATCTTCCTCGTCCATCTCCTTGGTCTGCTTCTTGGGCTGTTTCAGGGGCTTCTTCTGACCACCTTCACGGCCAGACATGGCGCCGGCCGCCCCTCTCACTTAATATTTTTAAAAAGAAGAAAAAAAGGATTACTGCAGGAAAAGGTCCCAATACTTGGGCACTCAAGGTATGTGACTTCATTGAGGACCAGACCGCAGACCGCAGAGTTTAAGAAGGCCTTCAGCTGTGACCGAACAAGTGATGCAAAGATCCTTTATAGCCAGTGTGGGGTTGCAATGAGGGACCTTGGCCAGAACCCCACAATGCCGAGGTGCTCAAGGTCCTGGGAAACCCTAAGAATAATGAAAGTAGGTTCTGGATTTTGAGCACTTCCTGCCCATCCTGCAGACTGTGGCCAGGAACAAGGACCAGGATACCTATGAGTACTATGCCTAAGGCCTTTGGGGGGTTGACAAGGAAAGGAATGGCCATGTCATGGGTGCTGAAATCCAGCATGTCCTCGTCACACTGGGTGAGAAGATGACAGAGGAAGAAGTAGAGATGCTGGTGGCAGAGCAGGTGGACAACAATGATTGTATCAACTATGAAGAGCTCATCCGTGTGATGCTGAATGGTTGAGGGCAGCACTTCCTGTGCCCTCAGAGTCCTGTACCTTTTCCTGTGTGAGCCTGTATGGAGCCCTGAAGGCCTCCTAGGCTGTCACAGCACCTTTTCCAACTTGAATCTCTTGGATAATCTTTGCCGGCAGCATTCACCAAATAAACTTGCTCTGTATGCCTCCCCCCAAAAAAGGATAGGCTATAATGTGTGATGGTAATAGAACAAGAGAATATCCATTGAAAAATAAAGATAAATCTATGCGTTATAATACATAATTAATCATAATCCATCACCTCAGTTAGAATGTGTGGTCCTTGAGGCCCTTTTTGCAGACATCATGCTTTTGCTGTGAGGCCTCAAGTCCTGAGGAGGAAGTAAAGGAAACACAGAAATAGGCATCTCAGAGGTCTTAATCTCCAGATCTTCCCCCCACATTGGACTTTTTGCCCCATTCAACTTATTTCTACTCTTAGTCTCCTTCCCCAGATTATAACACTACAGTGAGCGATCCATCCCAGGAAATCATTGGGCTGTATGTCCCGGCTCCATTTAGCTGAGAAATATTGTCTGTCCATCCCTGGCCCTAAACTGCAGGGAGGAGCAGAAGTGAGTCTACTGTATCTCCTACAACTCTGTCCTTAGCCCAAATAGCAGGTGCTCCCAGCCCACCTATCCCAGAGGCCCTTTACACTTTATTCTGAAGGAAAGTAAGAGACCAAGTAGATTTCAGCTCCTGGAGGGATTTTCTAATGCCCTTGATGCCCTGTCTCCACTTGTCACAGGTCTCAGGAGTCCAGCAATGAGCACTCAGCCCTTTTCTGATTTCCCTACTAGGGCTCTGCTCCTCTAGGACCACCTCCTGCGCCTGGTCTCCTGCTTTCAGCAGCCCAAGCTGAGAGCAGACACCCAACCTGTCTAACCTGTCTGACGTCATCTTCTCTCCACCCACCAGGGGCTCAGGTCTCCAGCCTCCTGGCTCTTCCTGTTCTCCGCTTCCGTTCTCTCAGCTTCCTTACTGCACCTTCACTTGCCAGGGCTGAACTTCTCTAAGGTCCTGCCCATCCTTGAGTCGGCCTCAAACTTTCTGGCCGCAGAAGTCTCCTGAACTCCAGTGAGCAGAGGAGCACGTCCAGGTCTCTTGAGAGTCGAGGGCTGAGGGCACTGAGCCAACATACAGACCCATCACCTCTGCCCACAAAGACACCCCTCCATGCGGAACCAAGATGGGGAATGGAACCGAGGAGGATTATAACTTTGTCTTCAAGGGTGAGTTGGGGTTCATGGGGAAAGAGGAAGACAGAGAAGCTCAGTAAGAGAGCAACCAAACCAAAACAGGCCTCCTCTCAGTTTGTAGCTCTTACTAGGATTCCCAGGGCTCACTATTCTGTCAGGATAATTAGGAAACTGTGCAGAGTGGAAGAGGGTCAAGTTACAAAGGCAAAGTGTCAGGGCTCTACTGTTGTAAATAATGATGTTGCCCATTCGGATACAGTGTTGAGTTAGGCTCCCCCGCCCCTTCCTAATGAAGTCCAAATCCCTGGGAACAGTGTGCCTCTGCAGCACAGAGATAGAGGTCAGACTTCAGACAGGACCTCCCTTCTGAAAAGAGAGGAAAACAAGCAAATTTAAAAGGAAGAAAGTGATGTTTCTAGGACTAGGTAGAGATATAGGAGGAGAGAATGAATCTGGAGCAGGTTTGATAGAATCCAGACGACTTGTAGGGCTGTGACCTTGCTTGCCTAGTATTCCTTGGCAAACTGCTTGGACCTAGATCCTAGACGTGGGTTTCAACATGGCTGTCCGTGGAAGTGTGCTTTATTTTGCTGTTTGACCTCTTTATTTCCCCCTCCCCTCCCACTCTTAGACATAACCCCCCCCCACCTCCTTCAGGGCCAGGTGAGCAGGCAGGCCTCTGATTCCTGTTCAGTCACCCCACCCTACTGCCTCTCCTAGCTTCAGCCCCACCCTCACTCAAGCTAGGATTCTCAGCTGCCCTAGGCTTGGGGGAACCTACATTCCTAGCACCTTTCCTGGGAAGGGGAGACAGCAAAAGGGTTAGCAATAGTATGGAGCAATAATAGTACCAATAACTCCTATCTATTAAGCCTTTACTATTAAAACCCCATAGAGTACTTTCTACAAGGTACTTTTCTTTTTTAAAGTACTTTCTACTTTTACACACAAGGCTTCTATTAGTGGGCACTAACTCCACAGCACTGGTGGTTTGTTGTTGTTTTTGTTGTTGAATATGTTTCAGTGAGAAGTCCTGGTGGTGTAGTACATTATATGTTGTGCTGCTAGCCAGTAGCCTAGTAGTCTGAATGCACCATGTGCTTTGCAGGAGAAAGAAGAGCTGTCTCTTCCTATAAACGTACAGCCTCGGAAACCCCATGTTGTGAGTCAGAATCAGCTCAGTGGCAATGAGTTTTGGATGGTTTCATTAATCACTATTTTTAAAGCAACAATTAAACTGATAGCAACACCAAGGGTTTCAGAGTAGAACTGCATTCCATAAAATTTACAAAGTGGTGACCTTCTGGAAGCAGAAGATCGCCAGGCCTTTCTTTCTAGATGCCTCTGCATAGATTTAACTGTCATCAGTTAGTGGTCCAATGCTCAACCATTTGCCTCATCTAGAGATGTAAGCACTCTAAAACCAATTGCCCTTGAGTTGATTCTCACTCATCTTGACCTTATAGGACAGGGTAAATATAAGTACTCTGTAGGGTTTTGAACTCAGAGGATCTAGTGGTAAGGAGCTGTGCTGCTATTCCAAAGGCATGCAGTTCGAATCCACCAACTCCTCTGTAGGAAAAAGGTGGGCAATCTCCTCACATGTGATTAAACTGCCTCTGAAAACTCACTGGAGAAGAGTCAGCTACAAGTAGCTTCTGACTCAATGGCACAAAACAACACATCTTTTTTTCATTTTTCTTGTTGTGTACCATCAAATTGGATCTGATTAGCACAGGAAGAAATTGCCCCTCCTTCTCCAGTGGAGCATCTGATGGATTCAAACCACTCACCTTTAGTATTGCAGCAAAGAACAATAACAAATCTTATAGAAGCAGACTACTACAGCTATGTCCTGCACAGTCACAGATGGGTTCTCTTCAGTCACTCTTTTAGCCACTGCAGCAGTCCTGAAAAGTTACCTTTTGTTTTGAGGGGTAGTACACATAGTGCTCAGATGCCCCACTAATACTTCAGGTCTTGATTCTGTCACTCACAGTGATTGCAAGTTGGTGTGTTCAGAAACAGACACAAAGAAGACGTTTGGGGTGCCCAAATTTTATTTTAGGATTATACACATCAAATGAAGTGGGTAGGGGAGAAACAGGGTTGGGCAGAGGAAGAAGTCAAACTGCAGAGCAGGACTGACAAAGCCAGATTGCGGGTGGGGAGCTGTGGAGAAAGTACTGCTCATCAGAGTGGCCCTGCCTGTCCTAGCCTCTCCCTGCCCAGTTAGGCACAGGTTGCTCAAGATGGGCATGGCCTTGGTGGGGTGGCTATCTGCACCAGGCAGGGAAATGCTGGAGGAGCCACTCCCTGCATCTGAGCAGCAAATTGCCCTTGAAGGTGAATGTGAGTGGCACATCTCTGTGTCTTTCACACTAGTTGTGTTTTCTTGGGCAAGTCATTGAACCTGCCTGTCAAGGGCCTCTATAAAAATGGGGATGAGAATAATAGTGCTTATCTCATGGAGTTGTGAGGAAGCTATGTGTGTGTGCCTGGTACACAGTAAGCATTCAGTAAATGTTTTTATTAGGTGCCATCAAGTTGGCTGGCTCATAACCTCTTCTGTACAGAATGGAACTCTTCCCCATCTTTTGCCATCCTCACAATCACTGCCTAGCTAATGATTTGAGCCAATTTTTGCAGCCATGGTGCCAATCCATCCCCTTAAGGGGCTTCCTCTTTTTCACTGACCCTCTACCAAGAATGATGTCTTTTTCCAGGGATTACCCCACCCCAATAATCTGCCCAAAGTATTTGTGATGAAGTCTCACCATCCTTGCTTCTAAGGAGTATGTGACTTCATTTCTTAGTAACTCCATTTGATGGATAAGGAAACTGATACTTAGAGTAAGAATAAATAGATTATAAAATGTCACAAAGTACAAAGGCAGTGCTTAACTCTGTCTGACTTGAAAGCCCTTGATATGAGTGAGCATCTTTAAAGCCTAAAGTCATGGCTATGAGTTCACCCTCTAAGAGAGATGAGATGGGAATAAGATTCCCAGGAGGGAAGGGACAGGCAGGCATACGCAGGGACATACCCCTCAAATATCTGTCCATCCTCTAACTCACACATACTCCTACTGCTCCCAGCTCTTTTCAGTCTATATAAACAGGAATTTTTGAAGTTGGAAGCAACCTTGATAAGCGAAAACCCAGAAAAGATGATCCACTTGTGTGGGGTAATATAACTAATCAGAAACTGAGTTGGAATCACAGCCCAGTGTGTGTGTCTCCCAATCTGAAAGGTGGCCTCCTCTCTATAGTCTGCTCCCAGCCCCCAAGCTGGTAAAGTTAGGCCTAAACACTTCCTACAGTTCCAAAAGATCATCATAACCTTCTGGCTTTTGTCCCTGAAAATCCAAAGCCAGAGTTCTGGATTACCAGCAACAATCACAATAGTTAACAGTTTGGGGGGAGCTCTGGTGGCCTAGTGGCAAGAAGCTGCACTGCAATCCCAGAGGAACATGGTTCAAATCCACCAGACGCTCTGCCGGAGAAGGAGGCGCAATATCCTCCTGTACCAGTCAGATCTGATTTGACGGTACACACACACAAAATAAAAAAATAATAAAGTAACATTAAAAAAAAAGTTAACAGTTTGGTACACTTCCGGTATCCTGGACACTATCCCATTTACATATAGCAACCACCCTTTAGATAGTTACTATTGTTATTCTCATATTTTTTAATTTAAAAAAAAAAATAGGCTAAGACAAGTCAGATAACTTTTGAGGGAACACACAGAGTTGATACAAAGCAGAGCCAGGACTGCAAAGCTCAACTGTCCAACTCCCAGCCCCAAGCTCTATGACCATACCTGACTACAGGGACAATTAGGACACTAACTTCTTACATACACATGACTGTACCCACTTCCCATTCACCCATAGATGTGTCACCTGCCAAACTTTCTGCTCTTCCACATCTATGTTGATATCTTTGTTCCTTGAGGAAATGCACAGACCAAACCTCTCACTTCCCCTCTTTATACTCTACACCAGAACATACACCTCTCAGACTTCCTACCATCCCTGTCCACACCCACACACCAAATCACCTTCCTCACAGCCCCAGAACACTCACAAACAGCTCACAGATAATGCTGTGTGATCAGGTTCACAGGCTGCCTCTCTGCAGCCAAGGCTCAATTGACCAGGACACTTGTCCTTGTTGTTATTAGCTGGCTTCCAGTTAGCTCTGACTCATGGTGACTTTATGGATAACAGAACAAAATGTTGTCAGGTCCTACGCCACCTTCATGTTTGAGTCCGTAGCTGTAACTGTGTCAATCAATCTCATGAAGATTTCCCTGTTTATTTGACCTTTACCAAATATGCTGTCTGTCTCCTTAACTTGTTCCAAAAATCTGGCCCTTTTACCCAGGATAAATGCACCCTACAGAATGCAGCCCTGACCCTTGCCCTCACCACGACTCCTGAGCCCTGCTTCCCTATCCTGATGGACAGGCCCTCTAATCTCTGATGGGTTTGGGCTGCTCTGCCCCACGCTCAATCCTTCTCTTTCCACCCCTTCAGTGGTCCTGATTGGTGAGTCAGGCGTGGGGAAGACCAATCTGCTATCCAGGTTCACGCGCAATGAGTTCAGCCACGACAGCCGCACCACCATCGGGGTTGAGTTTTCCACCCGCACTGTGATGCTGGGCACAGCTGCTATCAAGGCTCAGATCTGGGACACGGCTGGCCTGGAGCGGTACCGAGCCATCACCTCGGCGTGAGCCTGGGTCTGGGGGACCGGGGGAGGTGGGAGTGCTGGGAAAATAAGGGAACACGGGTGGAGGAATGTGGAGAAGATGGTGGTGAGGAAACTCAGCAGTGTCTTTCTGGGTGCGCGCCCTAGATTCCGGGTGAGCCACCTCCCTCAAAGAGTTCATCTGAGACAGAATATAGTGCTACCAACTATGAGAGCTGAAGACGAAAATCATTGCCACTACTTACAATGTGCCCAGGAAAGTACGAGGCACTTTCTGTATGACATTTTCTATAATCCTCCAAGTGCCACCAGGAGTTAAGGAGCTCTGATTACTCTGTTTAAACAAGATAAACTGGAGGCTTAAGCAGGTGTGAGCTGGGTGGAGCTAGACTGGGCTCTTTGGGCCAAGAGCGCCCCCTCACCTCCACACAGTGTTTTGCAGTCTTAACCATAAACTCTGAGGGCTGACAGGGCAGGTCCAGTTTACAAAGCAACAAAATTCAGAGGACACCCTGGAAATGAAGCCTCTTGAAACCACGTCCAGATTGTCTTCCCCCCCCCCCAACTTTCAAGGGATAGAACTTATTAAGGAATCTAAGATTAGGTAAAAGTAAGTAAAGACCACACAGGTCTAATGAAGGATATACTCACTGCCATTAAGTTGATCCAGACTCATAGTGACCCTCTATCAAGTGTCCCATCTTTCTCCCAAAGAGCTCAAGATATGTTTAAACTGTCAACCTTTCAGTTAGCAGCCCAATATACTATATACTGCTACAGGGGACATTATGTACAATCCAATATTAACCAGTAGTGCTCCTATAATGTATTTAGGGGCATGTAAAAGGTCCCAATCTTAGGAGAAATACAACCCCCATAGATAAACAAATATAATATTGGTTAAAATTATTGATGGACAGGTGTTTCTTAGGTGAAATAGATAGTAAATTATTATAGAGAAAAAAAGATTGTGAAGAAGCTACTGGAAACAATGTCAATAACACATAAAGAGTACAAGTGCTATTAGATTTTTTTATATTGAGAATATTTGCATTTTCATACAATATATATTTATGTGTGTGTGTAATGAAATTGTTTTTAACAATTCTGTATAATTCAAATACTAGACCAATAGAATAATTACTGCTTCCATCTAAACACCAAAGTCTACCCATCCTGAGTTTATGAATAGACTCAAAATACTACTCAGAACCCCAAATTTGTCTGGCCTCAATCACCTTCTTGATGTATTGGATATGATGACTAAACTAAGAATATGATACTTCGTCTTGCTGTTCCACATATTGTCTATTTGCACTTTCAGGCCAAATTGTGTGGAGGATTGCCTGAGTGTATGTCCTAGGGGCTAACACTTCGTTAGGGGGTCAGGAAGCAAGGGGCTTCAATTACACTCTTGAACTGGTCATTTGACCATTCAGTTCACTTCATCCATAAAATGGGAATAGTTAGACAAGCACCACTGTAAGGCTGGATATGGATGCCTGAGATAGTCAAGTCAGAGGCTGCTGCATAGGAAAGATATTTAGTAAGTCCTAGAGTAAAAGGCAAGATGCTGGGGGAGCTATGGTGGCCTAGTGGCAAGAAGTTGCACTGCAATCCCAGAGGAACACGGTCCAAATCCACCAGATGCTCTGCTGGAGAAGGAGGGACAGTCTCCTCCTGTACCAGTCAGATCTGATTTGACGGTACATGCACAAAATAATAATAATAATAATTCTAAAAAAATAATAGACAAGATGCTGGTCACAGGGAAGAAGAGGGTATTGTAGGTCAGGGAGCCATTGTAATGAAAAACTCAAAGGTGGGGCATCTGGAGGCTGATTTAGCCAGAACCTTACCGTGTCCTGTGTAATCCTTATCACGTTCTCTGATATACCTGAGCCCACTGTTACAGTCACTGTGTCCATCCGTCTTGTTGAGCTTCTCTGTCTTTCTCTGAATGTCCGTCTTTCTCAGCATGATATTTTTCCAAGGACTGGGCCCTCCTAACATCTTGTCTAAAGTATGTGAGGTGAAGTTTCACTATCCTTGCCTCTAAGGAGCACCATGGTTGCACTTTTGCCAAGATATACTTGCTTGTTCTTCTGGAAGTCCATGCGATATTCAATAATCTTCTTCAACACCATAGCTCAAAGGCATTGATTCTTCTTCTGTCATCCTTATTCATTGTCCAACTTTAGATACATAGGGAGAAACTAAAAAGACCATGGCTTCAATCAGGTGCATTGGTAAATGTTGTTGTTATGTTCCATCGAGTCAACTATGAATCATAGTGACTTTATGACCAATAGCTCTGAACCCTGCCCTATCTTGAGCCAGTCTCACTGTCTCTGACATGCCTGCCCCCCATTGCCAGAGTCACTATGTCAATTCATCTTATCCAGGGTCTTCGTCTTTTGTTCTGACACTCCATCCTACCAAGCATGATGTCATTCTCCAAGAACTGGTCCCTCCTGGCAACATTCCCAAAGTATGTGAGACAGTTTCAAAGTCCTTGCCTCAAAGGAGCAAACTTGTTTCACCCTCTCTAGGACAGACCTCTTCTCTTTGCATTCATAGTATATTCAATAATCATAGTTCAATAGTCTTCTCCAGCACCACAACTCAAATGCATCAATTCTTCTGTCATCTTCAATTGCTGTTCAGCTCTCGGATGCATAGCAGCTAATTGAAATGACTATGACCTGGATCTGGTACATCTTAGTCTCTAGACTGACATCATTCTTTAGTACTCTGGAGAAGTCCTTGACAGCAGATTTTCCTAATGCAAATTGTCTTTTGATTTCCTGACTGCTGGTGCCAAGAGTATTAATTGTGGATCTGAGCAAGATGAAATTGTTAACAACCTCAATCTCTTCTCCATCAGTGGTAAGAAACATAGGAGCTAAAATCAGAAGTTCTGGTGATCTAGTGGGTAGGGAGATGGATTGTCAACCTAATGACAGGTATTTGAATACACCAACTACTTCATAGGAGAAAGTTGGGCAATTTCCTTTCATGTGATTTCCAGCCTCTGAAAACCTGCTGGAGGATCAGCTATGAGTCAGCTCTGACTCTTACTCAACAACAATGAGTTAGTTTAAAATCAGAACAAGGAAACTATGAAGGAAAGGGCGAGCTAGCAGAGGCTTTAGAGCAGAGAGGTGAGGCTGCACAGTGTCCCTGGAATGTTCTGAGCAACAGGTGCAAGAACCTTGGGCTGTTCTGCTGATATTTGAGTCCCTGGACACTGTCTATATTTCCTGAGTTCTGATGCACTGATCTCTAACTTTGTGTGTGTGTGTGTGTGTGTGTGTGTGTGTGTGTGTGTGTGTGTGTGTACCGTCAAACTGGATCTGACTGGTACAGGAGGAGACTGTCCCCCCCCTTCTGCAGCAGAGCATCTGGTGGTGATCTCTAACATTTTTACTTGATGGCTCTGTTCTGAAGTTGGGGTCCATGGTCCTGACCTTGCCTCTCTGCCCCCATCCCTGCCCAGGTACTATCGTGGTGCCGTGGGGGCCCTCCTGGTGTTTGACCTAACCAAGCACCAGACCTACGCAGTGGTGGAACGCTGGCTAAAGGAGCTCTACGACCACGCAGAGGCCACCATTGTCGTCATGCTCGTGGGTAACAAGAGTGACCTCAGCCAGGCTCGGGAGGTGCCCACTGAGGAGGCCCGCATGTTTGCTGGTGAGAGCCTGCCATTGACCCAGTCACACTTCTCTCTTCCTCCCTACCCCTCACACGCCCAGCTCCAGCACCTCCAGCCTCTGCCCATTCTCAATGTGCCCAGCTTGGTTTTCTTCTACCAGGTTCCTCTGCCTTCCTCTCCTCTCCCTCAAGGTTCTCTCAGCATTTCCCCTCCAAGTACTGTGTCTTCTGTTCCATCCCACCATTGCCCTGAGATTGTCTCAAGGACCATTCATAGTGGATTTTAAGACAGCCCTAGCCTGCAAAGTGCGGGGATCCCAAATGTAGAGGGTTGTTCCACTTGGCCCGCTTCAGTCACCCTTTGCTTAGGAGATTTCTGGGGTTTGGACAGATTTTGGTAGTGGACAGATTTTTGCAGTCCTGTTACAAGGCCTCACAACTTGTTGTGGTTACTTTACTAGATGTGGACACACAGCAATTCCTTATACATTCCCTCTGTATTTCTGGGTTTCAGGCTCTTCTTTGATAAAAAGAGGTGTTCATCAGACCTGCTTTATAGGTTGTTTTAAGGATAAAACAAGCAATTTAGCACGGTACCAAGAACTACTACTACTACCACTATTATTATTATTATTGCTTTTGTACCCCTCAATTAATGGTGCATTTCTCTTCCTGTCAGAAAACAATGGGCTGCTATTCCTGGAGACCTCGGCTCTGGACTCTACCAATGTTGAACTGGCCTTTGAGACTGTCCTCAAAGGTTAGTGCATCTGTCTTCATTTAGCACCCCTTTTCCATATCAAGGGAGCTTAGAGGTAAGACACCAAGCTACCAATCCAAAGGCACACAGTTCGAACCCACCAGCTGCTCTGCAGGAGAAAAATGGGCAGTCAATACCTGTGTGATTTACTGCCTCTGAAAACCCACTGGAGGGTCAGCTATGAGGCAGTTCTGACTCCATGGCACATAACAATAAATGACATTCCACCTCGTGGCCCTAGCCCTTAAGTCAGCTGACTCCTCAGCCCTTCTCTGGACCCCCAGCCTTCTCAGACCCTCTTAGTGTCATTGCCTGCTCCCCTCAGGCTTACTCACTGAAGTAAGCGGCAGGAACCCAGGTGCTTAAATTCCAGTTCCTTTCAGCAAAACCTCCTTCAAATGTAGCCACCTCAGTGCTCCTAAAGGGGTGTGAGGTGTAGGGGGAGCCTCAAGGTGGGCTCTGATGTTTTTCATGGCCTGATCACTACCCTCTCCCTTTCAGAGATCTTCACAAAGGTTTCCAAGCAGAGACAGAGCAACACCCGGACCAATGCTATCACCCTGGGCAGTGCCCAGACTGGACAGGAACTGGGCCCTGGGGAGAAGAGGACCTGTTGCATCAGCCTCTGACTTCAGTCAGTGCAAACCCTGCCCCCCTCTTGCGTCCTGGTCACCATCACTCTCCTACAGGCTCCAGGTCCTTTCCCTGTGCTTTGGTTCTGGATGTCTAGTTTCTATCTAAAGGCTCTTTAAGTTCCATGGTCTCTGTGGATACCTTGCACATATCTTTATTTTCTTTCCATATCCTCACAGACTAGGCCTTCAAATAAAGATGTTTTGTATCAATGCCTGGACCTCTTGCTGTCTCAATGCATTCCTCTCCTCTTCTCTAGCTGGAACCTCCCCTTCAGCTTCAGAGTCACTATTCCCCTACTCTTCCCTCTGTCCTAATCTGCTATACGCATTGCACCCTAAGGCCAGCTGCCTCAGGGAGCTGTGGTCTGGGTACAGTGCCAAGGGGGTGGGAGGTACCCGCCCTTCCCTCTGCCAACCCCCAGGGCAGGTGGGGGGGTGGCCTGAAGGGAGGGGGGTATCTGGAAGGAAAGACAAAGGAAACAGCACCGGCGGGAACCATCTGGTGCCCAGGGCCCTAGTGCCAAGAACTGAGGTCATTCCAATGCCAGGGGCAAGGGAAAGAGGCCAGGGGAGACGCTAGGGAGAGGGGCGATCAGGGCCTCCTACAGGGCCTGTCACATGTGGGGGTGGTATGGGTAGGGTTAAATTTGAAAAACAGAGTGTCCAGAGTCTCTGTCACATCCTTCCTGCCCTCAAATAAGAACTGTGGAGGGACGGACTGAAGGGTGAGTGGGGAGGGTCTGTCTCCCTTGGCTTTTGACTGACCCCTTCCCCGTGGAACCCAAGAGGTAGCTGTTCAAGTAGGTCCTCTGTTCCCCTGGTTTGCCAGTCAAGGTGGAGGGTCTGACTGTTCCCCAGGGAGAAGCAAGCAGTACATGGGGAGATGAGAGAAGCCTGGGTATTTGGATGGGGAAACATGAGCACTCTAGAGACCCCCACTTCCCATCAGTGTGTATCACCTGACAAAGCCTCAGGTGAAAGCCTCCTCAGTGGCCCTCACTCACCCCAAGATAGCCCCCATCCAAATGGTAGAGAAAAAAGGCAGAGCCTTAAGTAATAATACTTTTAATAAAATTAAGTTCTTAATAGCACATTTAATACATTAACCCTCCCCCTTCTTGGTTTCTCTGCATTTTGTGCAACATCACTTTGACTTGATTATTCATGGGTAGGTATATTATTTCTTGTTTTTTTAATCTTTTTGTCCTCAGCAGATTTGTGTCTTCACTAGATGCCTCAAATTAAGTCTGACCACAATCCTACTCTACTTTCTACAGTGGAGACCATCCCCCTGCCCCACGGCTGTCTCCCCATGAGCTGCCCTACCCCTTGAGTAGAAGGAAGGGCTATCCCCTCCATTTCCTGGATGTTACCCTCCCAATCTAGGGGGATTTCTAGGACAGCAGAGCAGGGGTGTAAAAACCTGTCCTTAGGTGGGGCAAGAGCAAATTGGGGAGATGGATATGTGTTTGGGGTCTAGGGTCAGGGGGGCATTATTAGTGGAGCTGGACCCACTCCTCTGGCTAAAAAGATAGTCAAAGGGCCTCAGCCTCCACTTGGACCAGAGGGAAAAGCCCCCACCTGATTGTAAGCTGGTGTTGGTAGAAGGCAAGTGCTTATTAAAAAACTGATTTCTCACATGCAAGTCAGGCTCCCCAGTTGTCTGTGAGAAGGATCCAATGGTGGACCCCTATGTGTGAACACTTACAGATGGAGATGGATTGGATCAGAGGGTGAGTGCTATCTTCCCCTTGCCTCTGAACCTGAGGGAACCAGTTCTCTCCGACCACCAAATACAGTGTCTCCCTTTTAACTCTTGGAATGGGAAGTCCTTCTTGGAATCTAACTTTTCTGGGACAACAAAACACATTGCAAATCCGTGAAGTACATGTATCTTTAAAGAACATTTATTGAAAGCATTATTTCCATTGCTGCCATTGAAGGCAAAAGCAAAGAATGTGGAATATTGAATGTGAACAGAGATGGGAGGCAGATCTCCTCTATTTGGGGAAGGACCTACCAGGTTTTCAATCTGTAATGGAGCGGATTGAGGTTAGATTTTAAGAAGGACTTCCTCAAGCCTGGGAGAAGCTGGTTTAGGGGGCTTTGATCCAGTCTCCATCCTCCCTAAGAGCCCCAGGAAAATTACATCACTTTGGAGTGAACAAGCTATGCAAAACAGAGGCAGAGGGAAGGCCAGAATGGCCAGGCCCACTACTCTGCTGCCCTCAGCTCAGCCCCTTATCTGCTTGAGACAATCAATGTCCATTTCAAAGACCCTTGGAACGGAGTCCCTTTCTATGCGCTACAGCTTAATAAAAGTCCAAGGATTCTCAGAATCAACCCCAGCAGACTAGAAGCTGCCAACCTTAACCTGCAACCTGCTCCAAGCATCTAAAATGGAGCAGCTAGCTCATGGTAGACTCAGCCACTTCCCTTCTCTATTTTCCTTTTCTTTACGACTTTTATACATTCTACTGGACCCAGGGGCCCTCAATACTACTAAACTTTAAGCTATCTGAATATTGTCTACTAAGTAACTAGTAATTCTTTCTCTCTTTCTCTAGGATTATATGAAATAAATTTGAATTATTATTATTAATAATTATTATTTTTGTAGTATTCTTTTAAACCCCTCGGTTTTTCTTTTTCTTCTTTCTCTCTGTCTCTCTCGGTTTTTTTGGTTAAAAAAAATCTATTTCTCTTAAATCTCACACCTCTCTGAGGGTTCCCATGGGCCTGTGGGGCCTCAGTTCTCACCTTCCCCTTCTCACTCACCCCTGGGACTGGGCAGGGGAAGGGGGGGACACCCCAGGATTCTCAGTCTTCAGCTTCTTCCTTTCTTGTTAATCCCTTTCTTTGTTTGGCTCTGCCGGCTCCCCAGAGGGGGAGGGGGAGAGGGGAGGGAGGGCCTGTGGAGTGAAATCCAATCTATTCACAGGGCCCCAGAAGGGACCTGGCTCCCCCAGCCCCTCTCAACCACCCATCCCAGGATGCTCCCCACAGAAAAGCAAATGACATTCCTCCCCAAAAAAAAGTGGGGGAAAAAAGGAACGTAAACCCGAACATATATTAAAAACACTTTTTTTTTAAGATTTAACTCTGAATACAAATGTATTTTTTTTTCTTCTTCTTCTCTCCCTACATATATTCTAAACCTTCTAAAGTTTTTTTTTATTTTTTAAGGATCACTTTATCATAAAATAAAATATCCTTTTCATATAATAAATTACCTAATAAAAAGTCTTTTTTTTCATATTAGCCCAGGTTCTTTGCTACATTTATATGGTAATAAACGCCTTTATTAAAATAGAATATTAAATTATAAAGAACTGCTTTTTTTTTGCTATTTTTGTTCTCTCCTCTGTGTTGGTCGCCTTTCTCACTCCCTCTCACACTCTCTTTCTCTCCTCTATTTTGTCTCTCACTATGTGTTTTGTGTTTGCTTCTAGGTTTGGCTCAATTAGTAAGGGTGGGATTGAATTTCTGAGCCCCCTAGTGTAACAGTCTTCTGCCTTGGAGGGTTAGGAGTGGAGAGGGGGAGGGGAATCGACAGCCAGGCATCCTTTCTTCCCACCCCTTCCCTCCCCTCCCCAGTGATGGGGTGGTGGTGATGCCCATTTGGTTTGGTTTCTTTTGTACAGACATTTTCTGGATGGCTCACATTGGTGGGAAAGAGGGAAGTTGTCACAGGCCAGATTTCTTGGCTGTGACCTCCTTCCTCTCTGCTCCCTAGCTGGTGGCCTGGAGGGGCAGGCTGAGAAGGGTTAATTCACAACAGGAAGAAGAGGAGAAAAATCCCCTCTGCAACCCAGTCCCTACACCACTTCTCCATCCAGGAGGAATGGGACTCCTGCACCAAGTGCTCAGAGGTCACTCAGGACAGTCCCACCCTATATATACAAGGATCTCCTGGGGGCCTCTCAGACTCCCATCTCTGTCCTTTTCTGGCCCGGCCAGCAGAACCAGGAGGACAAGAGGTCAGTGGCAGCCCCGAGTGAGCAGTGAGGAAGCATGACAGGGGGATGCCAGGCCTGTAACACACAATTCTCAAAACAGGTCCCGCCACACCCAAATCCAGCTTCACCTCAGACTGACCCCTCTTCAAAGCCCTGGCCTTTCTCCTCAGCCACAATGGGTGGGACAGACTTCATGATTAGTGCGCTAATGAGGATTCAGGTTAAGTCTGGAGAGGGGTGCAGGGTTTGGGGCACTGCAGAAGAGCAAGATTGAGGGAGCTAGCCACCCTTCCTCCACGGCCTCTCCTGCTCCTTGAAATAGCAGACACACTCCCTCACTGCCCCCATACCCAGAAAATCCGGCCTAAGAACTGTTCCCTACGTGTAATGCCCATCGATGATGAAGGTGGAAGCTTGACCCTTTTGTACCCCAGTATTATTTCCCTCACCAAACTCTCACTGACAATGGGATACATTCCATTAAAAATTTAGGGGATTTCTTTAGAGGGAGGACAGGGCTTTCTGATGCCCAAAAGGGTTCAATGAGATGTAGGTGTTCTTCCTCCAACTGCCCCCAAGAGGGATGGTGTCCCCAAAGCTGGGCTGGAAGGGAAAGGAGGATAGGGAGGGGGGAAATGGTAAAGACAAAAAGAAAAAGAAAATCAACTGAAATTGACAGCTACTATGGGGCAGAAAAAGAAGAATGGGGGAAAGGAAAGGGCAAAGGGGAAAGAAAGGTAAGGCTGAAGGGGAAAAAATGAAGTGAAAAGAAAAGCTGAAGGGGAAAGAGGAGCAACCCTTCCAGAATCTTCTAGCCCAGCCTCACGGGAACAGATGAATTATGAGCCCTTGATTGAATCACCATGCCTCCCCCACAGAAAACTTATGCAAACTTCTTATAGGCCCCAATCGCCTTATGCTGGAGAAATTCCTTAACAAATTCTCAAGCAGGAATTGTGTGGAGTGTGGGGTTAAAGGGTCAAGTTAAGAGGTCAGAGGTCGGAACCAGAGGGCCTAAGGATTGAAAAAAGCACCTCTAGGTAAAAATGGTCATTCTTCTTCACCCTTTTCCCTACTACCTCCTCCACAAGGAAAGCGGTAGAGTGAAACACAGATTGGGTGGTGGGCCGAGGGGGTCAGGTTTAGGAGATTTAGCCTGAACCACCACCTCTGGCAAAACAAATTTCTCTTAGCTGCTCCCAGATTTTAGGGTATGTTGAGGTATCAGAGTTGTAACTCTAGTAAAATTTCTGGTCTGGCCCCCTCCCAACCTACCTAGGGCAGGCAGGGTGACCAGAGGCTCTGGCGGCCCACCCTCCAGCCACCACAGCCTCCCCACCCCGCCCCCACAAGTGAGTATCTCCAAGCACCTTGCCCCTTAAATCACTGATTTCCAAAAGGCCCTAATGGAAAGCAGCTCCAAGGTGGCCCCTGGGAAGTGGGCCAGGAGGTATGGGGCAAGGAGCTTAGGAGAATATTCGAATGGCTTGCGTGGCTGTGATGTGGCAGACAGGACACTCTGGGTCCGTCCTCTCGCAGATGCGTACTGCACACTCCATGCAGAACAGGTTGTGTCCACAGGGCACAAGAGCGGCAGTCACCTCACTCTCGAAACACACCATGCAATCACGCCCTCCTCCGGGGCTCCGCAGGCCTCCGCCCCCAAGTTTGGAGAAGCCCTGGAGCGGCTCTCCTGGGGGGCGCCTTGGAAGTCCAGCCAGCTCTGTGGAGGTAGCAGGGGAACGATGTGCGCCTGGGGGCCCAGCTCGAGCCTTGGTTGTAGAGGAGGAGGAAGAGGCAGAGGAGAAGAGCACTGACGTGGGCGTGGCATTCTCCTGGCCCGCCCAGAGTGGGGGGCTGGTCTCTGCCACACCGTAGTAGACATCCTGCTTGCCCACTCCATAGCCTGGGAACAGGTACCCACCGTAGCCAAAGTCCCCGCCCTGTTCGCCCAAGCGTGGGGCCTCAAAGCCAGAGTCCACTCCGCACTCGCCAATGCAGCCCAGGCTGTTCTGCCGGAAGGTGGAGAGAGGCTTGCAGCCTGGAGGATGCACCCGCCAGGCCTCAGAGTAGCGGCTATCAAGCGCTGCGTCGGGGCTCCCTGCCAGGAAGTCGTTCTCATTGTTGTACTCGAGGATCTTGCCCGTACGCACTGCTATGTGAGTCTCAATCTCCTCGCGTGCCCGCTCAACGTTGCCAGGGGCCCCAGTGATCTCGAACACCGGATCGCGGTCACGGCTTGGGGTGATAATGTACGTGTTGGTCTGCTGCTGGATGCGCTTGATGGTTGCCCCTTTAGGGCCCACTACCAGCCCCACCACGCGGTAGGGCACCCGCACACGGATGGTCACCTGGCCAGGCAGAGCAGGAGCGACACCGAAAGCAGCACCTGACTTGTTGCGTGAGGCGCGAATCATGGAAAAGTGTTCAGCTGCGGAGATGATTTCCCGCCTGGCTGTGGCCACGTCCTCCCGCCGCCCTGTCACCATGAACACTGGCTCCTCTCCCCGCACTGGGGTCTTGATGTAAGTGTTGGTTTTGGCCCTCAAGGCCTTAATCTTGCAGCCTGGGATAGGGTGAGGAAAGAGAGAGGAAAAAAATCCACAGGGCAAGATTTATGTTGGGATAAGGAAATTCCCAGATACCGAGATAACCACAGCTTCCCAGGGATCTCAGAAACGCAGCCCCTCCTAGCTCCCATCCACCAGGTCAGGTACAGTCCACTCACCTGTTCTCAGATTTACCAAATGTCTCTATTGATCACAGAACACAAAATCTACCAACTTTGCCTTGAAAATCTCCTTTAAACCTGAAAATATGAACCTTCCCAGACAAGTTGCTAACATCACATTTAATCACAACTCCCCTCCAACCAATGGCTGGTCCTTCAATTCCTCTACAAATTCCTGGCTACGCATATGCCTTCAATTTACTTAAATACACCCATCTGTCACTGACCTCTCTTTCTACAAAACTCCCACTAGACTGTCAGTAATGTCACCATCTACTCCTTACTTAACCTTCATCCATTGTCTTCCATCTTCTCTATAACAAATACCCCTCCCATGACCTCTGTGCAACAGTCTCTCAGTGAGTCCCAAATTCCTGAGTTTGCAGCAACTGATGGAATGTGGAAGACCAGGATGGGTCTGAGAGAGTTTGAAGAAGAGGAGGAGGATGATAAACATCACAGTATTAAGGAGCAATGTACCCTGCCCAGGAGCCCTTCTGTCCCCTGGGGACAGGAGAGCAGAGAGGATGAGAGCAGAGTAGAAGAGAAAAGGCGTCTGGACCTGTTCACCTGCTTTTGAAGGAGGAGTATGGTAAAGTGGAGAGGTTGAGGCCACAGGTAGGAAGAGAGAAGAAAGGCCCAGACAAAGAAAGACAAAGAAGAAGGAAAGAGAGAAAAGTGAGGGAAGCTGGGAAGTCCACGCTATTTCTAAAAGATAGAGACCTTGAGAACCAACTGGACAAGCCTCTCTCCTCTCATTATCTGCATTATCTCCTATCTTCACCTAGCAGCTTCAGAGACTCACACCCTTTCTGCATTCATGTGCACACACACAACACACACCAACGTTAGTTTGCACACGTATCTAAGAGCTGTGATAGGCTATATGCTTTTATCTAAACAACACTTGTGAGGTGAGCCTGATGATGTACACTTTCACACACCCCTTTTACTCACACAGGGCCTGTGTTTTAACATTTCATACATTCCACTTTTCCTTCCCTATCCTCTCAAGCACACAAACAGTACATTCCCATACACCCCACAACTTTTGTGCCCCTATTTACAAACAGCTGTGTTCACACTCCTCTCCATGCATACAACTCACTATTTTTTTTCTCACCTTCACACCACACTACCTGTTCCCTCAAAACCAAGCCAAGTAGTCCTAATTTTCTGACCCTGCCAACTCCCTAACCCCAGCCTTAAGGTGAGTTCATTTTATTCCTGTTTCTTCTACCCTACATAGCCTCTCCCCTCAATATGGCCAGACTAGGCATGGGGGTATAGAGTAGATTAAGACAGGTCTCCTCACCTTCAAGAGACCTCAGGAAGGAGAATTTGCTCCTCCTCCTTGTCTTCAGACTTCTTGTCAGTTGAGAAGCCCTCCCTACCTGTTGTCAAGCGCACATCCTTGTGAATGAGTATGCTGCTTGTGAGGCACAGACTGTGGAGGAACAGAGAGCTCTCCTTTCCTACCATCTCTGCTCACAGGTTCTAATGAGCACCTGGTTCTATGTTTTGGTTCCATAAACTTGTATGAGAGCAAGGTATCTTTGTGGGTTGAGGTTGGGATAGAGAAGGAGAGGCCAGTACAAGGAGAAAAACTATGGGCTTGGAGGTGAAGAACTAGAGGACCTCAATCTGGATTCTGCAACCATGAAGAAACATCTTTAAGGGACAATCCACTAGGCTTCACCTTCCTAGAGGTCAAATAAAAGAGCATCAACACTGCAGTAGAAGGAGGAAGGTTAGAAAAGAGAGAAGACTTTCATACATGGAGAGAAAAAAAGGCGAGGCTTATCTGAATAGGGGAAATCTCCCCATTTTTATGAGGGATGAGCCTATAGGGTACAGAGACAGAAGAGGAAAGAATAATACCATTAAAATGCACAGCCCCACACTATCCTCATCCAGTTCCAGGGGACTGGACCCCCAGTTAATGACAGCAAGAAGAAATCAACTTTCTAAACCAGAAATCTCATGAGGGAGCGCCCCAGGGGGGATGGGGAGTGTGCAGGGGAGTGGCATCTTCCTCACCTCCCTTCTTGGTCTCCAGCTGAAATCAATCCTCAACCCCAGCCTGGCCAGTGGGTGAGATGGGATGTGGAGTAGGGGCCTGCCAGGCCGGCCTCCCCTCATCCTCGCCAGCAGTCTGCCTCCTCCCTCACTCCCAGTCGGAATGCAGCTCCTCTATTGTTCCCCACTGTGGGACAGCTCCTCCCCCACTCCTCCTCCACCCCCACCTCCCCAACCCAGCCCCATCACAATTTCCAGATTTTGCCCCCAACTCCTCTTGGGGAAACTGAGGGAGAGATGTGTCCGCAGCATCCCTCAGCTTAGTCTGGACCCTCAAACAACACATACCCCACCACCAACCATACAGGGATGCTGGAGCTGAGGAGGGTGTGGTATCAGACATACTACACTGGATTAATTCTAAACACACACCCCCAAAGAGATCCTCCCTCCATCAAATCTCCAGGTGATGGTTTCTCACAACTCAACACACCTCCTTCCTGTCCTGACCTACTCTCTCACCACCGGAGAACCCCAACAGGCCTCTGGCCCCTGGCGGTGACCAGCCCAGAACAAAAGCCAGAGAAGAAGGAGAGAGGTCCAGGCCAGGACATCACACTTCCCTGGAGGCACCCCTTCCAAAACCCCACAGACGGTCCAACTTTGGTATGTGGGTGACCGTGAGATTCCCTCCTCCCAGCAGCCCCCCTCATCATCTCTCCCCCAGGCTGGGACCCTCCCCTGAGCCACACCCCCTTCCATTCCTACAGTCAGCCCAACAAAGAGACAGATACACAACTGGGCTTCCCGGGCCAGGTCTCCCTCTAAGTCTGTAACTCCAAGAGTGTGGGGGGTCCCAGGGGTGCCCCCGCCCCAACCCACGAACAGACACTGGAGTAGGGACTTCCGAGTGACTCTCTGCACATTGCGCCAGATCTTCCCCCACCCCACCTCGGCGCTAAGAGGGGACACCCCCTCCGGACAGCCTCCCTGGATTGGGAGACCGAGCCCCCTCCCCTTTCCCTCTCCCAGTGTGAGAATATTTCTTTGTCTAAGGGCAGAGCCCTGGGGGGAGGAAGGATCCTGAGAGCCATCCCGACTGTGGGTAGCAGGGAACTTTGTGGCACTTGGAAATCAAGGGAGGGGGCGGGTCCCCCTTTGTGGGGAAGGGATAGAGCTCGAGGCGGGCAGGGAGGAAGGAAATGAACTTTCCACGCTGAGGATGGGGTGCCCCCCACCCAAAGTCCCTCTCCACGGGGTCCCAGCTTACCTTGCCTGCCCACGATCTCGGCCACGTGCTCAGAGGTGGGCACAGGCACACACTCGGTGGTGTTACTGCTGCCCTTCAGGCGCAGCTCGGCCTCTTTGTAGAGAGCGCAGAGCTTGGCGTCGCTTGCCCCTTTGGAGGCGGTGGGGGGCTGGGGCGGCTGCGC